GAAAATAGTTTGACCTAGTTTATATAAGCCAATCGAATCCATGTTTCAAAATTTTTCACCAAAGTTTGGTGAAAACGCTGATTGGTTGATCGTCAATCGGCAATCCTCGGCTGATTCCGCAAGCTCCATACTAACAACATAGTTATTGTCGAGTGCGGAAACATCCGAGTAGTTCCGATTGCATAACCGTACACAAAGAAAGCATGGAGTATATCGGAATTGAAACCAGAGCAGTATGATGCCCTGCATCATTATCTACTGAGGGATGATGTATTTTGCGTGCTGCCCACAGGTTACGGCAAGTCCCTGATATTCAGCCTTATCTTTGATTGGTCCGGATTTGAACAAAGCGCGCTTTGACTCGTTCGCGTTCATTGGCTAGATCGTTTAATGAGTCATTGAGTGCGGGCTTTAAATTTGATTGGCGGGCGGCGGGGGCACTCGAATCTGGTCAGAGGTTACTTGACACGATGGAGATAGGCTACAGTGAAAAGGTTAGTGTCAAGTTAGCTCTGAAGCTCAGGGTGACAAGACATGGCAAAATATACAAAATTTTATTACCTGAAAGCAATTACTTTACAACTGTGGAGCTAGAATGTCTGTACACCCCTCCCCCCTTACCTGCTATTTTTGTTTTGGTGTAAATATCATTACATTAAAATTGCAGACCTAGTAGTGGTGAAACTATTTTGCTGTTTAAAATGATTAGTGTTTCATCATGTTCATCATATATTGCAGCCCGTTTATTGTAGAAAAGTAAAATGGTGCAAAGGAAAATTTCTGGTCATTAAAGTTCTATACTTTGATATACTTCTCTTTCTACAATTTATTAGGTAAATTTTAACTTGACTTTGTATAAAGAAATTATATTTCAAACAGCGTATGATATGATTTAGTGATTGGAGATTAACTAGTCAAGTGCAGTCCTTGGTCACTTATATAACCTTTGAAATGATTGAAGACTACTCGAACATTGTTGTCATTGAGTAATTCATGCCCTTAGAACTCTTCAAGCTCATCGAGGGCACAGCAGACTGTTTGGAGATTAGGCCGATATTTTAAGTAACTTTTTCTCAATTTTCCGGGATGCATCACGAGAAGACGTGAGGTAGTGAAAGCAGTTTATTTTGTCAATAATAATAATAATAACTGTTAAACAAGTTTTGGACTAATATTGTGTAAACTGTTGCAATAAAATTTTGGTTATCTGAGTCAAAAACAGGGCATCTAAAAGACGGCTCGACAGCTAACACCTTGCTTGGAGATAATTTTGATAATTTACTATATTTCCATATTCATTTCTTCTAGATTCACTTTCACAGCATCCTCTTGAAGAAATGGCTGCAGCTGAATTTGTTGGAAGTGAAGTCAAGAATCTCATTGCAGAAGTATCATCAGATTTCATAAGTGGAAGGTTTTCATTGTCCCAGCAGCCAGTCAGTGATGAGGAATCCACACCACGTGAGTCAGGGGATGGTGGTAATGAGCAAGATGATTATCAGGCACTGAGTGGGAGATACTCACAGAGGTCAGAAAGTGACAGTTCTTGGAGGTCCAGTGGCACCTTTCACACTGGCTCCAATGGAGAGGGGAACCTTCAGCATTTGCTTCCACAAATAGGGCCCCAAATAGATGTTATTGGTACTAGAGGCAAGGTTGAAGAGCCTTTTGAAAATGAAGGATTGTTGAAAGAGCCTGAACCCAACAAAAGCACAGTTGTCAAGGCAGTTGAAGGGGAGAACCAACTCAGAAATGTCCATTCTGAAGACTCTGATCATGGTTCCCAAGAAGAGCCTCCAGTCAAGCATCCAAGATTAGCAGGGGAGGAACAGGCCAATGTCAGTGTCCTTCCTAACATGTATCTCCAAGCTTCTCCACCTCAAGAGGAGCCCCCTCAACCAAACCATGGGCTGGAAGAGGACTCTGTGGCCTTCAGCCATAGCAGGTACCCCTTCAGCATGATAAGTGACTCCTTGGTCTTTACAGAACAAAAGCCAATTAGTCAGTCCACACCTTATGTAGTTGGCCTAGTTGATCCCATAGCTCAGATAAAAAGCCCTCCAAAGACTTCAGGTGTTGAACTGAAGAAGTACTCCCAAGGCCTTACTACAGGGGGTAGTGGAATACTAAGCATTGGCACTACTAACCCAGCCAGGGCTGGACAGATCCCTTTAAGGGCAGATCATGACATTGGTTTACCTATAGCTGTTGTTGAGCAGGAAAAGCCTCTTTCAAAAGGCACTGGCCCACAGAAGCGTGTGTCATGGGGTGTCTCATCAGACAATAGTGGAAGAATTGATCAAAGTGAAGGTGCTGCCTCAGCTGAGGCAATAGATGAGGATGGTGATCAGATGAGGATTATTAGCAGACAAGACACGGTTCATTCAGATGTTGCTGATGGAGGTTTCACTTCTTCAAAGGATGCCCCAGACAACATGTCCAAGTCTGATGTAAAGCCTCTGGCCTCTTACATTTACTATCCTGCAGAGCTTAGGAGTGGGTCTGTGAACACCACTGATGCCACTAGCAAGAGAAGTTGCAGCTCCCAAAGTTCCTTGAGTACCAGTGAGTCAGTTGAAAAGAAAAGTACCAGCTCAGAAAGTTCAGATGTGAGTGAGGTCATTCGCAGTGCAGGAGTTGACTACATATCAGTGGAAGAGCGGGATCAGTTACTGAGTGCCTCATCATCGCGATCATCAAAAACTTCTGAAATTGAAACTGAAAGATCCAGAAGCAAAGAAGGCAGATCACCAGTGCCTCATACCTCTGAACTCCCAGATTCTCAAGAAACCATCACGTCAGTTGTTTCAGATCAATTGACTTTACCTCCATCACAAGAAACCTTATCACAGCCTCTTTCCCAGCCCCTCTCCCAGCCTGCAACACAGGGGCTCAGTCAGCCATCTTCAGGCAGTACACAGAGCCAAGACTCCTTGGCCAGACGAGTCGAATTACTGCTAAGAGGGGCAGATTTTGAGATGGAAGACCCATATGGCGAGGAGGTTGTGAAATCACTACCTCTTAGTACTGCCAGTGCTCCTTCAACTGTCAGGTCATCACCGCCAGCAACATCCAAATCTGATGGAGTCAAAGGTGAAACAAATAATGGAAAAGGCACTTTGGACGACATTACAAACTTTGGGCAAGCAGCTAGGGTACATGCTAAAAAACATGGGCCCTCACCAGTGGCAGATGTTATCAGTCCACGCAGCACTACAAGTACTGTGTATGATGAACTTCCTCACCCTAGGCTGAGTGGGTCTTTAGGTGAGAGAGGTTTCAGTGCTCTGAGACCAGGGAGTTCAAGATCTGACAACAGTTCAGTTAGCACGAAAAGTGTCCTGATGGAAAAAGCAAGGAAAACAAATATGTCTCCCAAAGATTTGCCTCCATATGGTCCGAGTGATAGAGTTTCTGACCCATTATCAGTTAGGATTCAAAGCATTCTACAGGGTGCCGAATTCTCCCATGGTGAGGCACACTCCAGTCCTATTTCGTATGGAAGCCTTTCGCACAGTGTGTCTCTTCCTATGGGTTCTGGCATCAGTGAGGATACAACAGGACCCACTGATGTTACAAAGGATAGGAAATCTAATGAAAAATCCAATTTTAATGCCTCCAGGGGGCTGGCTGCTGAGACCTTTCAAGATGATCCTGTGCCACGGCAAATGGTAGGATTGCAGAGGACCAGTAGTATGCAGAGTGTCCAAAGTACAGACTCCTTGTCAAACAGAGTGCAAGCAATACTGTCTAATACTAAGCACTTAGATGGTGAAGCTGCCCCTGTAGACTTGCCTCTGTCACAGGATCTGCTGACACAGATTCCTTTAACACAAGTGCCTGTACCCCAGCAGTACCTGTCACAAGAGGTGGACTATGAAGTATTGGAGCAGGAACTTAATGATATACAGCAGCAACTGCAGCAGTCACACCAGGATGAAGAAGACCTTTATGACAAGTACATCAGACCCCACATGTCCCCTGAAGAACAGAGCACTCAGCATGAAGAAGAACCCACAGAGAAATCCAAGGATTCAAGCCAGGAGTCGAGCAGTGGTCTGGCAGGGGCACCCAGAAGTAAGAAACTCCTCTGGGATTATGGTGCTGACCTGGGCTATGATGAGGGGGATGGTAGATTTCTTGGTACACTGAAGGAGGTTTCTCTGCCTGATAGCCAGTTGCCTGGCAGTTATGCTTCCTTTAATAGGTCAGAACCGGAGGGTACCAGTTCAATGAGAGCTGATGTTAAGAATCCTGCTTCCGGGGACAACTATGAAAGGGTAGTCCATGATGCTGTTATCACTGAGGAAGGTGAAATACTCGCCACAGGAGCTATAACTTCACAAAAAGATGATCATTATGGCAGCACTGATAGCCTTGCTCGCCGTGTTGGGGTACTCTTGGGTGCAGAATCACCACAGAAACAGGTCCAGCAAATACTACAGGAGGTGGAGGAAGAGGAAGAACAGCTATTGTCTCAGAACAAAGCAGAGATGGCTAGATCATACATTCAGTATCCATCTGATTTAAAGAGCGCTACTCCTGGGGACAGTGAAATTAGAGGAGGGAGAAAAGATGAAGAATCTTCAGAAAAATCAGAAACTTCCAGGTCTGAAAGTCTTCTAGAGAGTGACAATCAACAGATTCCTACACAGATCCCTGTGTACAGCCTCAGCGAAGGTGGAAATGGTCTTAGTCAGCTCAGCTCTGGACCTTTGTCACAGCAAAGTGACTTCACACTAACTCCAATGGCAGCTGGCCCATTCACTGCATTTAACACAGCCACAACTTTACTTGCAGCTCAGTTAGAGAAAGCAGCCAGGCAGCGCTTTGATAAAAGCCTGATGCAGACCCCCTCACAAAAAAATATGTCTCCTGGGGATCATCTTGGAATACATGCTTACAGGGATGAGCTTTTTGAAGACGAATCCTTTTTGCAAAATTCGCCATCAGACGCAGAGAAGTTTATAACAGAAAAAGCTGCTAAGGCTATGATAAGACAAGCCTTCCAGGCACCTGTTGTACCAAGATTGTACACTGACAACAGAATTCAACAACAGGAGAACAGAGACTTTGGTAAAGTTCAAAGGAGGGATCTGGAGAAGCGACAAATTTCAGATAGACAATCTAATATAGGCTCTGTTGACAATAGAAGTTACATTGAATATCCACCAGATCTGAGGAGTAAAACCCCTCAAGGTGGCCGCAGGTCAGAACCCAGTTATTCTGGACATAGGTCAGAAGCAGGCTATGCACCCATTCCCTCTGTGGTCACTGCTCAGGACAAGAAAGCAGGGAACAAGGACCAAATCCGCAGGCTTGTGCATGTGGGTGATGGTATTGAACACCAGCAGAGGGCTCAAAGTGACCCCCTTAGGGAACAGACCATGAAGGCAATGTAGGTTGCAACAGTTTATTTATTTCCATTAATTCATTTTGTTTTATTTATTTTTGTATTTTTTTTTCTTTTTTTCTGCTTTTCTAATAAGATTTCTTAATTTTCAAAACTCTAAGATAGATAGTCTCCTACTCTCATTTTTTATTTATTTTTTTTTTTTTTGCCTTTGATTTTTGTCAAAAAATGATACGCATGCATAAATCTTACTGTAAGTAATGATAGTTAAGTTTTTTTATGAAGTAAAGAACATTAAAGTGAAATCAAGAGCATAAAACTTTTCCACATAATACATGAGCATTGTTTGTTCTTTTAAGGAGCCCTGTACCAAACCGACACTCTGCTGAGGGCCACTCTGAAAGGAGGAGAACTGCATGGGAAGAAGAGCAGTCAGGTGATCACAGAGCATTTAGTCAGAGAGCTACCAGGTAAGTTACTGAAGTAATTTGAGATCGGTTATTGTGAATTTCTTAATTTTAATCCATGCATGCCAAAAGACATTTATTTACTGTCAAGGCAATGAGCTTTGTATGTTTTTATGCTTCGAAAATATTTTTTTATGTTACAGCCAATTAAAGACCTCTGCCAGGGGCAGCAGTTCTTTGGGCTCAGTGAGACAGGAACAAATGCAGGATGATAAAAGATTCATGAGGTCTGCTTCTCCATTGCAATCAAGAAAACCTGTAGTCCAGTCAAAGGTGTCTGATGGCTGTGACTTGAAACGAAAGTCCAATGAAATGACAACTGGGTCAAGAGGACATGATGTCAGGGCAAGAATACGGACACCATCACCAGTCTCCAGAAATGTTCACCGAACTAGAAGTACAAGTCCAGAGCCTAAAGAAAATGGTCACAGAATGGGTAGAATGTCCCCAGTATATACTGGTGGAAAAAGAATACCAAATGTAGAAAGGCACTTTGAGCTCGCAGTGAGACCAGTTGAGAGACAACACGTGAGAACAGGTAAGGGATGAGAGGCATGTGTGCTAGGTGATTAACTGATCAAAAACAAAAAATGTTCAAATGAGTAATGCTTTGTCTTTGTGTTTTTTCCGTTGTATGTGTCAGATATTATTTTTTCTGAGGTGTGCTCGTTAAATCACCATCTTTTCTGTATTCTTCTTAATGCCAGGAGGAGGCATGCTAATCTGTTAATCTGATTGCATTCAGTGAGAGTCCCAGTGGAATTGGATAGATCTACATAGAACGATAGTTTTTTTTTGGAAATTGGTCCTTAAGACTCATTTTCACAAATTCATTGACAAGCACTTAATTGAATTTGTTTCAGGTGGAGATTTTCACAGAAGATCGTGGAGTCCAACTCTAGGTCAGCAAATGAGATTTTCTGTAGGGGATGCCAGTAGGAGGTCAAGGAGTACCTCCCCAGCTCTCAGGCCATATAGGTGAGGCCTTGCCATGGGAACAATAATTTTTAATACTTTGCCATAAAGATGGTTAGGTGTAGTTTAAAGATCAAATAATGAGGTTTTGTATATTACTATTTCTAGTGGCTATCTACAAGCTTTAAAGGAATGTTTCCAGCACCTACTCTCACATATGAAAAAAATCATACATTGATCTATAACTTGGATGTATATTTTCAGGCCTCATGGTAGTGAGGAGCTGTACTATGTAGAAAGTGGTGTGGAAGATTCCGGGTTATCTGTAGCACACAGCGAAACCACCTTGGAAAGTACTCACACAGGTGAGAAAACATCTGCTCTCTTATTTAAATTTTTTTTTAACTTGAATTATTGTTAAATTTCCAGTTTTTGACATTTGTTAAATTGTTGAAGTGAAGATTTTTAATTCATGTTTGAATAGAGTATATTCATCTTACATGTGATTTTAAGCTACAAGTACACAGAAATTACAAAATATTTGAATTCGGTTGTTTGAACATGTGTTCCCTACTGTGGCTATAAGATACATCTCCTTTTTGGATGACTGTAGAATTCATAGTTTTACCATTTGTTTAATATTGTAATTTATCTCTCCAGGTTCAGATGATGCATTAGGTCCCAGCCTTCCACCACATCTTCTAGGATCCAGGAAGGATGTGGCACCCAAGCATGCACGTGGAATATACGGAAACCGTATCTCTCCGAAGTCAAGATCCCCATCCCCATCCCCAGGTCCAGTGTTAGGCACCATAGATGAGAGGGACACAGTGGTAGGTTGAAGTGTAAAGACCATAATTTTTTAATAATTTTTATTGTGTGTGTGTGTGTGTGTGTGTGTGTGTGTGCATACATGTGCACTTGCATATGTGTGATAGTCTTCTTGATTGATGCCAACAGTTGTATATTTTTCACTTCTGACTGTTTGCTGTGTTCATCATGGATTGTTATTTATGTTTTGTTTTAAAAGGATCTAACATGACAAATTTAGCTAATTATTTATAAATATGATATTTAGATAAATGAATAAGATAATAAATGATTTATAGAAGTTGTTAAGTTATATATAGACGTTGTAAATTCATTTCTCATAGTCCATGTTATTTGAAAATGCAGCTTAAAAGTCATGGCTGCAATTATTTGTAATGAACAAATAAGCAACTGCTGTCCAAATCAGCTGTAGATACATGAAAAAGAAATTAAATAACATTCTTTAGTCAAAGTTACTCTTTTTTATATGCTGTCATCCAGTATTTATTTGTTTAAATTAAAAAATAGACTTCTGTTTTCTGAGGTGAAAACAATTGTCAGTTATCAATGCCTTACTTTATGTACATAATCTTAAAGATTAAAATAAAATTTAAAAGAAATTAAAATTTTCAAGAAAAAAACAAAGGAGACAAAATCTTTATGCTGTATGTCAAAATACTTGTCAATTTTGGCTTCTTATATACAAAAAATGTGAGTAAGTTATTTATCTGCTGTTAAGTGCATCAATTTTTTCTGCGGGAAGAATAGTCTCATTAAGAAATTTTCTGACATCTGTTTTGCTCTGCTTCGAGTAACGTCCTTGTGGCTGAGAATGGTCATAATCATGTGGCAGCCATTTGTGGTCTGTGTAGGAGGAGGGCCATATTGGCTCATTCTGGAATTTTCTCTTGACAAGTTTTTGGCAAAGTTTTTCCTCTTGCTTAGTTTTGTTAGATTCTGCACATCTGATTCGCAAGTTTTGGGTGGCCTGCACATCAAAACTTGGGTTAAACTGATTAGCTGGTGCTACGCTTATGTAATCTAGCTTTAAGGTTGGTGGGTTCTGCATATATGAGTTGTACAGTGTGCTCAGAGTTACAGGACTGCTGTCCACTGTGGTGCCTGCCTTGATACTGTCAATTACCATCTTATAAAAAGGATGGTGTGGACGGCACATCAGTAAAGCACTGCTGAGCAGTTTGCTCCCAGTTGGATATTGAAACAAAAGTGCGTGTTCAGCCGGCTGCTCAGCTAGAACACACACTTTACCAGCCAGTGCTCTGTTTAGAGGTCGTAAACACTCCACGTCAAGTTCAGCAAAGAGTCCACCAAACTCGTAGATGATTAAATACCGGACTATCTCTTCCTTTATGATTCTGTGCTGCTTGGTACTATTGGCAGTAGACATTTCTTTTTGAAAACTGGGATAGAACTTTTTGAAAAACTTATCCACAGCATCTTGTGTCCAGAACCAGTGCTGCCAGTCCGTGTTCTTGGATTCCCATGATGATATCCAGGACTGTGTGTTTGGTGGAATGTGGTAATCAGGCCAGTACTGATGGATTATCTTGGGAATGGTAACTAAAGTCTTCTTCTGTAAAATCCTTGCTGATGATTGTCCCAGGTCTTTGAGATAACTCCCGTCTTTAGGATTGTCTTTGAAATCTGGATGATGGTTTTCTGTAAGCCTGGCCAGTGGTTGAGAAGACTGAGAATGCTGTGCTATCCATAGTAATGCAGTGATGGTTAAGATGCTGCAGATTATTGGCACCTTGGATCTGTGAAAGACAAGGGCATCTATGTTACAGTTACCTGTGAAGCTTTTATACTTGGAATTTGCCAACAGTGATTGAGTAAATACATTGATCATTCATTTGAAACTAGCTCAGTATTCTCTTTTAGTACTAGTACATTATTTAAGATATGACAAAAGTTGAAACCAACAGCTTAAAGTTTCTCATTTAAAACAAATATTTCACACTAACCAAAATGTAGGGAGCCTACACAAACCAAAAAACAACAAGAAGAATGCCCATGTACCTATAGAAAGATGTCCGCATGTTTTACTTTGTGTCAGCCTTTTACAGCTCCTCCATTTTAACTCATCTGGAAATGATTAAGTGCTATTGATTCGAAATGTGCATGTGCCTTTGTTGTACTATTGATTATTTTGACAGCACTGGGTGTAAATGTGCACTGCATGGCAATTTTTGCCAGTTTTAAGCCTTTAATCTCAGTTCCCAAAAGTTAGTGTTTGTTATTATATCATTTATTTGTTTTATTGATCAAGCACTATTATTGATTGATGACATCAGAAGAGCAGTTGGGTGTTTTGTTCCACCATTTCTCACTTAATTAGCATTTGGTATTTAATGAAGTGGTCAAGTAGGTGTGTTCTTTTCCATCTTGTGAAAAATTGATTTTATTATGGCCTAAAGACACTGCAAAGAAATCAAAACACTGGCCAGAATTCTTTAATGAACTTCACTGCTTTGCATCTCGTGGCATTGCATGATATGCAATTCTAGTATCTTTTGACCAGTTTTCAGGTGACCTTTAAATGTTCAAATATGACTATTTGATATGAAAACACAGTAGCAGTGGTATCTGTTTTTGCTATAATAGTAAATGTCTTTCAAACTTCTTGAATCAGTCATGAAATTGACAATGTACATCTATGGAATTATTGATCTTTTTATTGCCTTGACTTATTGCAGCTCCAGTGACATTCTCTTGAGCTTGAATAAAACATGATAACTTGAAGGTTATATCATACTATCTAAGTGTTCTTGTCTTACAGGTGCACAGAGGAGAGGAAAAAAGCACCAGGATTGTTACTGGGAGGCCAACTGCACAGCAAGATGGTCAAGTTGATGGACATCAAGGTGACAATCAACCAGGTGACAGCAGACACAACTCCAGGCCTCTTCAGAGAAGTCTTCACAAAGAAGATGTCCTGGATGCTAGAGACTACCACAAGCTTCCAGCAAGGTCTTTCATTGACTACCCTTCGGATCTCAAAAGCAAAACGCCATCTTCAGAAAGAGGGGGTTCTGGTGTACCTGTGGACAGCAGGTATCATGGAAGACGGACTTTATCCCCAGTGGAGACGAGAGATGGTGGAAGGGGAGATGCTCTTACTCCTCTTTTGGCAGAGGTGAAGTTTCATTTAAAAGTAATTAAATACCTAAACTGAATTTAAATTTGAAAAAAAATGTGTCATTTTATCATTTTCACAAATTTAGCAAGAAAAAGACAATGTTATATGAAAGTCAAATGTTCTTCCTATAGTGTGACCATACAGTTTTTAAATTTGAATGAATCAGAACACATTAACTCTGACATAGAAAATGACATGATTTTTCTCCTTCATTTATAGTAAACAAATTGTCATTTTGAGATTGTTATTTTGAATGTTTTAGGTATTTGCAGTCAAAGAAATAATTTTTAAAATCATCAAAGAAAGACTTATAGTTACTATTGACATTGAATATTAAATGAAATGTGACAAAATATTTTTTGATAGAAGTGGAAATTAGCTTGTTTTTATGGACCCAAACAGTGACTCTCCCAATTTCTTACTCACTCTTGTGCCTTCTTATCACCTTGAAATGCATATACTAGTAGGAGGCTTGTAGAATCCAAAGTACGTTTTTATATCTGAAAATTAAAGGAGAATTTTTTTTGTACAGGAAGCAAAAATGCTTACAATTAGAATATTTCATTGCAGGAAGACAGTGAGGCAGATATCAGCAGTGATAAACACATTGAGGGGCACATGCAGGATAAAAGGTGATTTCCATAAATTAATTGTGTTTAATGTACCTTTCAAAGTGATTATACCTGTTTGACTGGGAAAGTAACAAAATGAATTTTAAAGGTAACTGGACTTTTAGCCAATTATCAAAAGATAGATGCTATGCAAATTTTTACAGTCAATATCCATTTTCACTTGTCAAACGTTTATATTAACCATCCAGTACTTTGTCCTCTGGTAAGTTGGACCAGTGAATGGAGCTACCCCCCTCCATCCTTACTCCTCCCTGTGAAAGATTTTATGGCCATCCTGTCAGGTGACTTACTTACAGTTTGTTTTTTAGCTCAGCACAGGAGATCCAGTCAGTAGGTGGCAGTGAAGTCAACAAGAACAAGAGTGCTCTTCAGCATCTGCAAGAAGCTCTTGACAGTGAAAGTGATATGTCTGATATGCCTTCCAACCTCCAGGAAATGTGGCAGAGATTCAAGGAAATAACTGGGGAAGCCAAGCAGAGAGGCCCACAGAAGAAGAGTGAGTTCAGTAGCCTCTTGAAAAATCCAGTGCAACACATGGTGAAAAAAATGTGTGCAGAGAAAGAAGGAAGGGCAAAAGAAGTGAAAAAGACTGGTGATATGATTGACTCCGTTATCAGCAGTAATTATGAATTGGAAAAAAAGCGAAATGTTCCTCGTAAGGCAAAAGAGAAAACATTAGAAAAAGGGAAGACATTTGATCAACAGAAAGATGACCAAATACAGCAGGGACATAAGATGGAGAAAGATAAGCCTGTTTCAAGACCTTCACCATCTAGGGTCGATTTTCTCCCCGGAGACCAACTGGTAAGTGTGTTTAACGAGACAGATGAAACAATCCAGTCTGTTCCTGAGGATACAACTGTTGATGCCTTGAGTAGCAAAGTAGTAACAGGAGAAGTAGATGAAAAACTCTACAGAATTTATGATCCAAAGCGAGTGGATCCAAGGATGGTAAAATTGCAAAGAAAAATTGAGAGGCAAAAACAAAAGTTCATCAGGCACCAAGAACGGGAGAAGAAAAGGAAAGACAAGATTGAACAGTGGGAGAAAACATTAAAAGAAAGAGACTCTGAAAAACAGTCTATAAACACTGATTCGATGTCCTCCATCTCTACAACATCATCAACTGTGAATGGTTCTACATGGAGCAATGAGAGCTCTCTTATGTCTTCAACAAGCAGTGAATCAAGAGAGGTTACGGCTACAAAATCTACAACATTAACACCAGTTCCAGAATCAGAATTGGAAAGCTACACACCTTCTCCCATGCCTTCTCAAAAAACTGCAGCAGTGCTTAGAAAACAGAAGCCACCTGATGTGCAAAGAACTGTAAATCTGCCCAGTACTCAGTACGAGGAAGTCAGTGATAGTACAACCGACACTGATCACAGCGTGTGTGGGTGCAAAGATGCTCATGTGAGACAGAAAAGGAAATCTGTAGCAAAGGAAGAGAAAGACAGGCAGATGATTGGGAAAAAAGAGAAGCCTTTGAAAGAAGTGTACGGTCCCCAATCTGCATACATCGAATTCAAAAAGCCAGAGCATGCAGCTCCCAAGGCAAAAGTGAAAGAGAAAGGGAAAAAGTTTAAACAAAATCATCCTCCTGGGAATGACACTTCTGTTGACAGGACAGGACAAGCAAAGAAAGCAGTGAAAGCAGAGAGCACACCCCTGAAAGTTGATACTTCAACCCAGAAAACAACACGAGATGTTGGAACAATATTTCCCTCACCCATGCTCCCTAGTCCCCCGATTAAACGCAAGTACCGAGCGGATGTCAGCATGGTGTCTGCAGCAGTGCAAACAACACCTCGGGTCTCGGGAGCTCCATCAGAACACAGGGAGTATACAGCAGAGAAAGGCGGCAGCAGCAGCAATCAAAGGTCATTTGTGACAGTACCAGTGAGCTCACCAAAGCCTAAGGATAAACCTGCTGTACGGTCTTCTAAAATCTTCAGTCCTGAGACTCCGCCCACAAGTGCAAAACCTGACAAACTGAGGCATAGTCCAGGTAATATTTTAAAGATGTATGACATTTCAAGTAAATGTGCGAATGTGTGGGCATGCCTGTCCTTGAGTTTCTGAAATTGTATGGGATACAGTACTTTAAAGTTTTATCATTAAGTAATTAAAGACAATGCAGGTATTTAGTAAAAGAGATAAAAACCAATTTAATTTACTAATGCTCATCCCATGCACCATACGTATTATTTTACTTTGAGTTAAAATTCATGGCTTTCTAACCTTTTTTCAGGTCTAGCTTGGTATATTCCAATGAAGGAAACCAAACCGAAACCCTGGAGAAGGCCATTACAGGAGAAACAGTCAGTTCAAGAAAACAAGCAGCTTCAATTCTCCAGTCATTTCAGAAGCAAAGAAAACCAAGATCCAGTCTTAAAGGACACTGGGAGTAAAGTGGACATGTATCTGTCAAGGAAAAGTGACCGTGTGAATGTCTTGAATAATGGAGAGAAGATTAAGCCCTCAGAGAAACTGACATTACAGGTAATAGTATGTTTATTGAATAAAAGAATATTATTGTATGTTGATTAAATCACATGATGTAAAATGATGTGTTCAGTGTTTAAACATTTTATTGCTTACTTTTAAAGAATAATTTAAAGCATACAAGCTCCCTGGTGATGTGCATGTAGTTCTGTCCACAAGTAAATTGGATGTGACATAATTATATATTGCCTTTTTTGGGAATGTATACATGATTTTAGGTGAAAAGAATTTGAAAATTAAATCTTATCCTCTTGTAGGAGGCCTTTGTCTTGTTTAAAGGTGAGGCAATCTCTAGGTCTAGAGAGCGCCAGAGGAGAATTGTCCTAGCTGCAGAGGAAAGGAAGGTTCAAGAACAGCACAACAGGGAGAGACTGCACCTCTTTGCTGATCAAAGAAGAAAACATGCCAATCCCAATGCACATCCTTACAGTGGTAATTATTTATTTTCATTTCTGGACTCTCAAAAGTGATTCCAAAATTGAGTTGGTTCACAGTGCAGATTGAAAGCTCTTTGTTTGTAGACTGGGATATTTTCTGTTAACTGATCAGCATACCTTGTAAACATTTTCTGATTGATAAAAAATTTGTATGGTATTGCATTATATATTGTTCTCATGCTAGTGTATTACGAAAATGCTGTTGTAATCTAGTGAGATTTCCACAATATGTGAATGGAAGGGGCATTTTGTATATATAACTTCTTTCTGTATCTTACAGCATGGGTTTTTAAGTTTAACAGTTTTAGTACATTTTAAAATTTTATAGTATGTTGGGTAAATTCAAAATGTATATATTTTAGAGCAACTGCACCAACCAAAGCAGCGTGTAATGACCAAGAGTGAAATGAGAGAGCATTCACTTAAGTAAGTAAATTAAACTTCTGTAAATTTTTACCCCTTGGCCCAATTTATGTCAAAGGAATTGGGCTCATATTTCATCATCTTCACACCACTGATTCTCTTAATGTGAAAAGATGTCCTTGTTAATTTAATACCACAAAAATACTAGGATAGTGCAGAGACCATTGCAATGAGGTCATTGATGGCTCTTGGGGAGCTCATTGGGGCACCCTGACCCATTTCAAAGTCACAGACGTCAACTTCAGAAATTTTTGTGTGGCAGGGATACATATGTCTATTTTCAGTAAAGGGAAGAAAAATAAATTAAAAGGAAGAAGAAAAACAAAACAAAAAACACTAACACTTTTAGTTTTCAAGCACAGTTTTTAGATTTTATATTTTCTAAGATTACAGTATTACTTTTCAGAATATATCAAAAGCTTCCAGAAGTGATACAAAAAATTGAGGAGAAGAAACGTCAAGAGAAGTACAAAACTAACCGTATCAGAGCACAGCTTTTCAAAGAGGTAAATACACATTTCTTGAAACATGTAAAATAGTATTCGGTGTCATAAATGCTACTTTTGTTGTCTAGAAATCGACATTTTGTTTATGTATATAGTTTATGAATGGAATTTTACCCATTCTGTAATTTTAGCAAGTTTTGGTTGATTTATTTTTCAGAAAGTCCTGAATAAGGTTTTAAAGAATAAAGGACCCTGGCTTCCAAATCCATGAGGGCTTATTTTGTCATCATAAGGCTCACACAGACAAGGGGACAAACAATAGGAACAGCCACAAGAGTCATGTAGTTGAGAGCCATAAATTTTCACGTCTTGGCACATAAAGAAAATAAGACAATCATATTGCTTTCCTTAAGCATATGTAAGTGTGCTGGCATTTAAATAAGACATTGCCAGTGCAGGAAAGTTTATTAAAACAGAAATATAGTCGAGGTTTTGTCCGTCATTGTATGTTGGCTTTTCTAGCTGAATGAGAAAAAAAAACTAGAAGTCCTATTTTTGGACAAGTTTCAGATCATTTTATAGCGTTGCTATAAGTAATGAAGCATTTAATGAACCATTTTGTAAATAATATTCACTTCAGATTTAATATATTTATATTGTAAAACTGCATACCATTTTGATATAAAATGCTTTTTTACTGTTAACTTTTTTTTCCTCTTATGACACAGTGCTGGATGGATCAGTTTTCATTTAATTCAAACGGACTAAATAGATTGATTATCCATTAATTACATTTCTATTCAGACTCCCATTTTCAATTCATGAAGAGAGATGATTTGGGGGTTTTAAGAAAAAAGTAGAAAGAAATAACTTAGTGGCCTTACAACTCGGGGGGTATGTTTAAGGTCTAAAAAACTGCCAAAAAGAAATTGGATTTCCAATTAAAATCCAATATGAAAATCATGTCTACATTAGGAACACACAATTAAGGAAAAGAAATGTACTTAGTGTGGCATTTATTCAGTTTGAATTTTATAATTAAAAAGAAAATGCATTTAGTCCTCATACCCAACAAAAAGTGTGCAGTGTCACATCATCCCAAATATATAACAAGGTAAACATTTTTTGTTCTCGGGCAGTAATATGATAACCACACCCACTGATTGCATACAATACTTGGCACACATGATCACATTGTAAAACTTAAGTGCTATATAATTCTACCAACAACTGTCTTTGACCGATTGCTTTAAGATACATCATGACATTTGCTTTTAAACCATGTAATACTATACAAACTGATATAACAACAGATGTATACTTCTACAGATGTTTCATTGTTATCAATGAAATAATTTTAAAAATTCATATTTCATAATATTTCCATTGAAATATAAAGTTCATATTATTATTAATTCATGATTTTCCATATCAGGAAATGATGTTTTTATGCTAAAGCACAATCATAATATGTTTGAGATTAGGAGGCTTACAATATTTGCACACAAGTCTTAAATCTTCCAATTTTATAATGTGGCTGTTTTTGACAGAAGTCTTCGAAATCAATTTGCCTTAAAAACAATCATCTCATGGTAAATTTTAAATTGAAGATATACTGGATACAAGGGGACAACCCCATTTAAGACACTCTATTAAAATGCAATATTAGCGCCATGTTATTAAGAGACTGGAAGATCCATTATCCTCTGTAGCTGCTTTATGGCAAAAATGTATAACAACATCAGAGACCTTTATTGAAATACACAGTGCTAGGTGGATTGGGTAGGGCAGCTAGTTTCTCCTGTAGTTCTGGTTCAAGGTGAGACATTGCCATGGAACTGAAAGTGGTCAGAAAAAAATTCAAATTAATGCTATGTAGGATATTACGCTTGTCAAGTGTGTTGCGGCACAACTATAGACAAAAGTATACATAGTCATCCGTATGAGGTTACAAAGGCCAAGCTGAATTTTACTCAGTGAGACTATTCCCCACCCCTTTTTCTTCTTTATACAGTGTTCTTTACTAACCGTTATAGACAAACTACAACATACTTATGTCAGAGCTATACACAAATGTCCTAGTATGACTCTAAATTACTAGATGTGGCTCTTTATATTGGTCCTGGTTTCTAAAATTTAAATCCATGTAGTGACCATTCCATGCAGACACATCTATGTAATACATGCTACTTAAAAGAAAATTTACATATTGAATCAAATACTAGACTATCTAATATACCCTAAGCATATTAATCTACTTCAAAAAATTGTGGAAAATGTAACCGACTTTGCTGAAAAATAAAAAGATTACCTCTTTTGTGGAAACAGTGCACAGCATAAAGGAGTAGCAAAAACCAGACTGAAAGAAAATAACCAAAATTATTCATTTGATTTTCAAATTATCAAGTTATAAATTGTTGTTCAAAAATTACAATTTCTCTTCTTTATCTCTTATTCATGCAATTTAATTATTCCCTTGAAAATAGTGTAGTAGATTGTTTACTTACAACGCCCCTACCAATCCAACCTGAATTGGAGCATTCAACCATGGATACTTCTGGAAAATATGACATGGCAAGATGAATACTAGAACTGACGACGCCAAAAGATTCATGTCTGACTAAAAGGATGTTTATGTAAATTAATCCTAAAAACGAATTCTAAAAAATTTGGATCATGCATAATGATCATGCATAATGATGTCTATGGCACAGATTCTGATGTATCACTTTCTTACTTACCATTAAAAGGCTACCTTTCTCTAATCTCTGCATTATAATTGGTGGAGTCACTGTAATAAAAAGAAAAACATTAAATACAATATCAAAAGCTCAATCATGTACACTCTTTAATCCAAAATGCACCAACACGTCAAACTACACAATACATAACAATACTACTAAATTTACTAAAATGATTAAATTACTTTTGGCAACTTTGTCACAACTTAATATCAGGAGTAACTGAGTTGGTTTAACTTACACATGCCAGGCATGGCCATACAAACTCTAGAGAAGACAACTTGAAAAATTGCTTTCTTTGCAGCTTTTTGTGAAGTGCCCAGTCTATTTCCATTTTCATCAAACACTGGAATCCCTGAGATCATTTCTCTATGAAAAAAACATTAATTAAAATTTCCATCAAATCTAAACAAAAAGAAGTTACATAGTTGATTAGGTGTATGCACATATTTCATGTTTGCAACCTGTGGTAAAGAGGATAAAAGTGAATTTTTTTCTTTACTTTTAACAATATAATTTAAAGGTGACCCTGAGAATGACTTAATAGATAGTCACAGCAATGTAGTAAATATAAAAAAGTCTTCAAAGACATGTTTGTTGTGTAATCCTAATCAACAGGTATTTTCTTACTGGCTTCTCATGCAGGGTATATTGATACAGTTAGCAGCAGCCACTGCAGAGAATGGGACATAGCGGGCTATCAGGGGAGGGAATCTCTGGAATTAAGAAAGGAAGCATACCTCAGAAGTAAATAAATTAATTAATTCATTTATCAATATTTATAAACTTTTATTTCATTTTTCAAATAGTGGGCACATGAGTACAATAAGAAAGGAAGATCCAGTGGTCAAGGGAGTGCATGCCAACCCTTTTTATTAGTTTCTGCATGGAAAAAGTCAAGCAAAGAGGAAAAAAAAAACTTTTTTCTACCCCTATCCCTCCTCCCAAAAGCCCTCCCTGTGCCCCTCTCCCAACTCCTAACCTCCCCTGTATCCAAACCTTGGAGCCACCAGTGGATCATAAAGAAGGAAAGATTCAGATGACATAATCAAATAGTTGCTGGACAAAAACAAGGAAAACAATGGTATCCACATTTCAACAAGGAGGGATGTGATTGTCCAAACATTACTATTAGTTGAAGGATAATATACCGTGGTAAATCAGTTCAGTTAAGTGTTGCATAGATGGGTCTCCTTTTAGACTTGCTATGCAAAGGAAATGTGATAAAGAGATTATGTCATTCCCAGTATAAGTAATTTCTAAAGATGGGTGTATCAATGCACTGATCTATCAAACCACAAAATTATGGCTTTTCTAAAGGAAAAATTGGTCAGACGATAAGGCTATTTACAATGGTTGTCCCTAGTCAAGTGAAAAATTTAATATTATAAGGAAAATACCACAACTAATTTGCAGTGGAAAATTAATATTTTTTCTTTTCAACAAATATATCAATAAAAGATAATAAAAGAAGAGCAACTGAGAAAGAGTACATAAATATCATAGAAATAAGGGAGGAAATTACATTAAACAAAAATAACACAATTTTTATTGAAATACTTTTTAAATAAAACATTAAATAAAATTTTGACAAATTTTGAAAAATAGCCAACTTACATGTACTTGACTATTTAGTCCTAAGGCCGTGACCAAAGCACCTCCTGTTGCCAGTACATATGACAAACCTAAATGTCTGCAAATTAAAAAGAAATAAAACAAGGAAAGCAATAGCCAAGCTGTATTGAAAACAAACTATAATGAGTTTTAACTGTACTATGTAATATACTCAATCTTTATAAAGTCTCAATCTTACTTCTGGAAAAATAAACCATTGAAGCATTCCAGAAATCATAATGATAAAGAAATTAAAAAATTTTGAAAAATATCTTAATTAAGAAACTATATATTCAAAACAAATATAAACTTAAAGACTTCTGATGTTTTATCCACCAAAGCTCATATATGCTTGTCAATCAATAATTTCAAACACACAATGCAAATTAAAACACTGATTAAACCTCCCTAACTAAAAATGTCCTTGGTTAGTGCTTACTTTACTGGTATAGGATGATCTCCACTCCTGTTGGTATAGTTGACGACTGCATTAAAAGACTGGTTAATCCACTGCCAGAATATAACAGCTGGTGTTGACCTGATACAAGAAAAAAAATTAACATTTAACTAGTCCTTGATTTTAATACCAAAGCATTTTATCTGAATGTCAATTTTGGTGCAGGAATATACCAGTATCTATAACTGTAACATTAAACATTGACAAAAAAAAATAGAATTTGTGTAGACTTCAAGCCTATAGCTAAAAATACCAGGGGGAGGTTAACATTTAAATATTTTTCCTTACTTGTAGAAGGTCATCATACATCCTGTGATGCTCATGTTCATGGGCACCTGTGCTGACATACGGCCAATGATGAACATCTTTTCCTTCGTATCTGGGTGGTAGGCAGAGTCATAGATGTGCTTGGCTCTCCAGATCTGATCCTCTGTAAGCCCTGCAGGCTCCTGGCCATTCCTGTTAAAATTGAGATCAATAAATCTTCTTCCTTGTACATATATGTTTCTCATTATATTCCAATAAGTTAGTTCCAAGATTTTCCGCATTCAATTTCCTTAAAAAATAACAATTTTCTCTTATTGAGAAATTTAATGCTTGGCCCATCCTTGCACATGGATTAAATGATTTATACCAATTCTAATTGTGGCCAGTCACTTAGACTGCAATGTTTTCCTGTACATTTCAGAAGCAAATATCGACATCAGGTACTTTTACTTGAGGGGTTTAATTGATTTTAAGAAAATAAACTGGGAAATATGATAAGTAGCTTTGCAGAATATGTAGCTATAGATAATAACACTATGACTTTTTCAAATGCAAATATTATACCTCATATAAACACTTTTATGAATTTGTTAGACTTATCTAACATTTAAAAATATAATAATTGAAGTATATAATCTCGTTCCTAATTGTTCCGATGCAACATTTTGAGTAACATATTATTACAGCCTTGATAAATAATTTGATAAAATATATTGTTTGCTTCTTTATAAGAGACAACTAGTATGCATAACATCATAAAATGTTTGGTTTGAAAATTAGTTATAACTGAAAATGCAATTACTTAAAGTACACAATTAAAATGGAAAAAAACTATTACAGAAGAGATAATCATATCAAAAATTATCCAAATAGCACTTATTAATGATGAATATTTGAATATGAATATTGAAATTGAATATTAATTACCTGTATTGCTCTACCAAGATTTTTGCTTCTTCCAAAGTTTTATTGGAACAAAATAAATTCAGTGGATTTGTTGTGATGAAGAAGTGCTTGGCTCGCCCACTAAAAGTATTCTGATCATATCGTGGTTCATCCAAGTTAATGCGTAGTCCACCACTGACCTGAGATGCTGTTGCAGCCTCCATTTTGATTTTTTCTTATATTTGATAATTCCCTTACTTCATTTCAGTCAAACAATTTCAAATGTCACAGCTGAAAACAAAGTTTAATTAACATGTTTTTATTAAATTCCAGTTATAGTTATCATAATCATATTGAATAACAGTTAATGCAATAAAATATGCAAATAAAAAACATATTTTAATCCAGCAATTTCAGTTTTAAAACTGAATCAAAATCATTCGCCCGTGATAGTGCTGTTGCACATAAAATATCAAAATGCAATGAACTTTCTTTTTCTGTTGCACGAGTCGTCAGAAAATCGTCATTCGTTTCTGATATATCCTTGCACGACCTATACAAAATCTGCGAACAAGTGTTCACCATATGTTAAACTAACAGAAACAGAAGGTCATAAGACAGTCTGTATGGCAAGAATCTTGCATCAGTCACTGAGACAACACACATCCACTGTGTATTGTTTATGTTATTCATCAACGATTTAAAAAAAATTGCAAATCGATGCAAGCAAGTTGATGCATAATGGAATTAATTACAATACATCAATAGAGCAAAAACGACGGTTGCTTTGCTCGTAAAGTTTAGCTGTAGTAAATGCTGCACGCATTCACTTACCTTGGTCTTAATATGTGGCTAATAGCGATGATGCAAACACCCACCACATGCCAGCCAGTCTCAACCGGAAACACAACATCAGCAATTCTCCGCACTTTCTTTTTGTCATCATATTATTGGCCCCTGTGTTTTCCTCTAAGATTTGCGTCAAAATGGCGGACCGTGGAGACGAGATTCGGCAGCGGGTTAGACATAAAATGCAAGAAAATATGTACAGATCTATATTTCCAGGTACTCCTCACGTAAACTGAAACAAATTAATGTGATTGCGTCTGGTTGAGAGAGTATGGTGAGGTGATGGGGTTCTTTTTAGATTCCCCTCACTCAGTCTTTTGTAAAAAACCTGTACATACTGTTACTGAGTGTGAGATTGGAGTACATGTACCAGAACTGAAGCTGCAAAATGTGTGCACCATGATAATGCAACATAGATAAAGATAACTGGCGTGGGGCGTGGTGTCGTCAAGCGTCATTATTACGTAACACAAATAGGTCATACATTTAACGACATTATGATACACTGACAAACTAAGATTGTGTCAAGTACTCTATGTAACTTGAGACTTTGATTATCTGTGGACCATTGATTCAGATAAGTCTGAACAAATGATATTTCCTTGTTTCTACTAGTTCTGTCCTGGGAATGTATTTTAGAAATACAATAATACAGTTAGCATTATCATGAAAATATCATTTCAACAGTTGTCACACTGCTTTGAAGAATATTACATTATGTCTTGATACTTAAATTTTCTGTGCAAATCTCACCTGATCCCTCGATCCTCCCCTCCTTAACTTGCCAAAGTCTCAAGCCATGCAGTGGCAAGGTTAACTGTCCAAACCCCTTTGTTATAGATCCTACAAAATAGTAATGATTATTTTAAAAATAATATATATTAATGGAGTCTGGAAGGTCCAGTTATTGTCTTAATTATGATCTAATCATGGTTAAGTCATTGTTGGTGTGTTTAGTTGGATATGGATGCTTGTGACTGTGCCATTTTATTTGTTAGCCTCCAAACTTACCTTGGGATCAAAAGTAAATGAATTGCCAAATTAATTTATTTGACTAGCCGAGACATTACTCAGAGTCACCACACAAATTGATTTAGAAAAGATATTGAATATCACAGAGTTATATGGTGGGGGAGAATGCTGCAAGAGTGTCTAATTCTTACCTCATTCTTGAACCTGCCCCAAATCCTGTTCTGTAAATTAATCTAAACCTGCCAGTGAAAATGCTCTGGTTACTGGCCAACAGTCGGTATGTAAAACATTTTTGCCCACCTATACATTTGTATATCATTCATAATGATTAAAATTATTTATACAGTTGTATATGTCTATTCTTTTAATATATTTAGATCCAAAGGTTGCTGAAGAAACTGAAAAGAAATTGGAGAAACTGAAGAAAAAGTCATCACCTTATAGCATCCAGAATGTTTGTTGGCTTATTGCCTCTATGGCTGTATTTTACTACACAGACTTATATCTGGCAATATTATATGACAACAGGATCAACAGGTAACAAAAAATGTCATCTTAATACATGTAGTACATGTGTCTGAGTTTATTTTCTGTGCAGTAATGGTAACTGAATTTTTTGAGGTGTAACTCTGTTAAAATAGTAATGTTATTATTTTGCCATAGCACACCTCATAAAAGTAAAGACAGTTTTTGTTTAGTACTTTGTTTAGACTTTTTGCATGGAGTATTCTTTTAACATTTATCACTTTAAAGTGAGGCAAAAAATGTTGTCTGGGTGCCACTCCCATCCATTAACAAAATAATGGATATGCCAGTTTAAAAACATTTTTTAAATTTAATGTAAAACTTGTACTAGTAATTGACTTGGGATGTCCAGGTGCTCCTTGTTTTTTCATAATCATAAGTTATAATCCAGGTTTTTGAGAAAAATCTAAGCCTAAATTAGTTTGTCATTCTCCATCATTTCAGACTTTGGCTGTACCCTGGGTTAATATCAATATCCATAACGGTCATGATTGCTTGTTTCCTAATAGTCTGGTTGTCATATATCAAGAAAGTCCCAAGTGATGAGTGGGAGACCAGATACCCTGCAGCTATTCCAGTGTCCACATTCTGTTTCATTCTAGGCAGTGTACTGTAAGTTAAAATACTATGAGAAAGGTTGCATAACACTGTTATGAAATAATGGCACTTTTTTAAAAGCCTGTATATAACATTCTCTCTGGACCCCCAGTGTCTAGGTGGATGATTTTTCATCCTCATGACCAACACTGGCCACTGGTCAGTGTCCTGGTCATTTTATTCATCAGTGACCACTGTCCATAGTTTTTGGGCTGAGGGTGCAACAGCATCTTTATAAGCATTATCTGTCTGATGATAGATCATGGGTGATGACTGGTTATGTTGAAAAAACTGTTGATTTTGTTTTCGCTCTATCAAAATTCAAAAATTGATGTAGAAGATAATTAGATATAGAACATTTTATATAATCATATGGAAGATGAAGGGTTGACATTGGGCTTGAAGGGAAAAGTATTGAAAATGCAAAACAGTTGTGTAACATTTTTCTCTAAAATGCCACCTCCTCCATCTCTAGAACCAAATATAACATGTTTTGAAAGAGTCTCATGCTGCTTGGGATTCAATTTGTCATAAATAACTCCTAAGTTTTCTGTCAAATTAAATGACAAATTGAATTCTTATTATTTTCAGGGTCATGATAGGACTGTGGCCTGTTTATGCCTTCCTTACTCCATTTATCCTGTTCACAATTTTCATGGGAGTTATTGTGGTGGCAGCAGCTCTTCCAGGAAGTATATTTTGAAAAATAAATTATGTCATTCACATTGGACTATTCAACATGAGAAATATAACTCTATTACATGTGATATCTTACTCAAAACATGAACCTATGTTTATGTCTTGAGTAACAAAACAAAAGAAAGTTCACATTTGCTCTGGAATATTTTCTTAGTATTATCTATAAGCTATTGACCTTGCCTATCAGATTTTATGGCAGCTTTGCAAAGATATTGATTGAATAAATATGTGATTTGTAGGTTGTAAATATATTGTATATATGCCAGCATACACTTGAAATTGTTTTCATAAAATACATATTTTTGTTGTTCACTGTATTCTTTGTATGTTTTACCCTGATGTTTGAGAGTGTTTGGTGAATTTAATTTTAAAATGTTTATTCACGGGTAAATGGCTTTTCTGTTTCTGATTCTTTTAACAAGACATAAGAAATAGGCATATATAAGCTGTCTCAGAAGTAAATCATAATTTATGCTAAGAAGGCAATATTTTGATACCAGATAGTGATATTTTAGAATATTAATTGAATTTTTATTTTTATTTTAATTAAATTCCTTGGTTAATCTCTATGGATATCATTCTTATTTTTCAGACAAAATATCTTTATGTCAAACTTGTACTGAGGGTTGTGTACTTATTTCCCAAAAAAAAACATATATTAATTCAACTTTGGTTTGTGATTATCTTTACCACATTGGATATGAATTTCTAATCAGCATAGTGCATTGGTCAATTCTTAGAAGCCAAGCCTATTTATTTTTTACTCTGTCTTAATGATATGCAATGCATGTTATATTTTTATGTAACAAAAACAATTATAAATGATAACTGAAAATATCAATATTCTTTTCACCATCTGAAAGTATGTTCTATCAAAAACTGCTGAAAAAATATTTTGAAAAATCTATAAACTTGTTCTTGAGATAAAAATTTTGCAAGTAAGATCCACCAATCTCCATTCACATTATAAGTTAGAGTGACTCATGAATTCAAAACATTATTCTCAAAAACAGGTTTGAAGACCATACTTTGTCTCTAGATGAGGATATTGTGTACCTTAGTGATTAAGGGGAAAAATTTCAAGATTTTTTTATGTGTATTTAGGTGTTATTGCTTTAAGGATCTTTTTTATTTATTCAGGAAGGTAAGAATGAAAAGCAATATTATCTCTGTAATATAGTATATTGACTAATAGTATGTGTTTTTATACCAACATGTTTATACTGGAAAGAGAGATATATGTAAACAACTCTCAGCAGTGTATGATAACATTAGTGACCTTTTTACATTTCCTTAAAGGAAAACAATTGTCACTTCCAGAATGACAGAAATCCAATTACAGAGGTGACTTTTTTATTTTTGATATAAGGAATAATGCAATTAATCAAGACAACATGGTTCCTATAATATGGGACTTGGGGATAAGTGTACATAAATAATAGGATGTTGTGAGGATTCACTGCTCTGAATTAAAAATATTTCATTTGAAGATTTTATAGTAAGGTTTATTTGTTTGAAAGTTAATTTTAACAAACATTCATTTGAACATCATTATAAGCTGCAAGAAAAATTTTTTCAACACCACTCTAAAACATCTTTTTTTCTTTTTCATTAGGGATGGAAATATGGTTCTGAATGAAAAAAATGCTCAAGTGGTTTAAGTCATAATATTTCTGCATGGTATTTTGAAATAAAATGATATAATTGTATTAAAAAAGGTATTTCTTTCCATTTTTAATCCCTTGATCGTCCATCTAGCATTTCAATGAAGTAAAACTTTAATCAGGAATGTGTGTATAGATAGATAGATATAAGATATTATTAGTTTTATACTAGGTTGGAAGGAAGTCTTGTATGCATAGTCAAGCCCTTTCTGCAGATTATCTCAACTTTAGTTTTGGGGAAAACATCCAAATTCATGCCAACTAGGCTCAAAATCTTTCATAAAGATATAGTCACCCTATTTATTTTGGTAAAATGCTGCACTTCACTTGTTTCATTTGTTTGGAAATGATTATAGGGTGTACATCATTACACTCCCTTTATATATATATATATATATATATATATATATATATATATATATATATATATATATATAACTCACTGTTGGTTTAATTTGTATTGCTCCAATGCAGAGGAAAATGAATGCCTAGAAAGGGAGGAATCCTTACTTGGGTAGATCAATAAAGTGAGGCTTCTTTAATATGTTTTGACATTCTATCAACCAATTCCTCAGTCAGTGAATTCTATTTTTCCTCATTTCCTGTCAGCCTTAATTAGTTCCTTTATATTTTATTTACTTTGTTGCTTACTGACAACTATTTGCACTTAAATATGTGGGTTCAGGTTTGACACCATACCTGCTGCTTCCCTTTGCCATTACATAATGATTATAATTATTTTTAAAAAAATATTCATACAAACATGCACATAAACCAGTGTGTTATTGAGAGAAACTGCAAAAAAAAGACAAACTGATTTTCTTGCATTTATTGTTAAAAGAAATTCTGTTGCACAAATTTCCAAAGGTCATAAAAATGAAGTGGAAAGTATAAATAGTTATTAAAGTGGCCAAGAGAACTTGGTATTTCTGAATACTATGTGAGATGGATCTTGTTAAAGAGTCCATTCACTGCTTTAAAAACCAATCTACTTATAAAACAAAAGCCTGCAAACAGCAGCTGCTCATTATAATGTATGGCTTGAAATAGTTTTTAAAAAAACATACAAATACCCAATCATTCCAAATCCAACAAAAGTCTAACAAAAAAACTCCCCAAATACAAAAAAAGTGTATGAAAACTGGTTTCCAATTGTACACTCGTTTCCATGCATCTAACTAAGTGGAAAATATACTAGGATTATTCTCATATTAACAGAGAATAAATGTTCAACTGCCATAAACATTACTAATCTACCACTAGGTTTAAAAAAGTTCACAATTCCAAAAATAATCAGAACAGAAAAATAACTCAGCCATTTACTTTTTTTAAAGATAACTTAAATCTTTTTTTAGTATTCCTGCAAAATATGTGATAATACTGTAATAAGTGTTGAATGTATCTGATGATTTTATCACCTGTTGACCCACTTGATTGTAGATCTCCACTACACAAACATCACTATGAAACATGAAGGTGCTATCAAATCGACCTGAATATTAATGCAAAATCTATAACCAAACATTCAAGTGTCAAACTTGCAAATTCTATATATTAAAAAACTATAACTGTCACAAATTATGAAAGTGATGTTGGAATAATATTTTACTTATGCTACAGCTACTTGTTATTTGGGCACATACCTATCTGGCCTAAAGGTAAAATACCTGTCTTGTGCTACAGACATTGGAATATTTTGGGATATCCATAGTTCTAGTGTATTCTAATAAATGTATTAAAATTTCATATTGCACACAATTGGCTTGCATGCTATAAGCATTTATCAGCCTGCAAAGCATTTTTCTCATAGAATACAGCCATACCAATTCCCGGAATGGCATGGCTTCCAGTAATACTTCCAAAAGACCACAATATGACAGCATGTATAGCTCTAATACGTCTATATTGTCTGTCACTGCGAAAATTGCCTGCCTTACATTCAGCAGCAAAGGCAAGTCATGTAAGTACCTGATAGAGATTGTGTAGCACCAGTTGGTACACAGCAGCTCAGCCACTCCTACGTGACTCGTGCCCAAATAGCCAGGAAACCTGCAAATCACCACAATTCTAAATGCTCAGAAAAATACAAAATGTGGAATATTGTAAATCCTGGTAATGTAACATTCGGTACAAACCACAAGATATATGAAACATTGTTTTTAAGCTCCTTTTCTCTCTCATTCTCTCTTCATAAAAAAACTGTCAGCTCAAAAGTAGATAATGTACATGTATGCAAAAAGCTTACTAATATCCCAGAAAAAATAAAATTACCCATTTTCCTACCATAAATTATCTTGTGTGCTGAATTAAATTAACATACATCTTATATAATATCATTTACTTCTGGGGAATAAGTTAATTCAAAAATAGGACAATCATCTCTGATTTCACATATATTCATGTAAAATGTGGTATTAAAAGCTTCTGCTACAAATAACCTCAAAATCCAATAACACTTTAACAGCTACAACCTGCGGACAACCCAGAAACCACACACAAAACTTACATTGTTAAGGAAAACAACACAGAACAATTGCAAAGTGCATAAGCATTAATAGAAAAAACAGCACATGAATTTAAATATTTTGATATGTCAAAACCCCTAGTATTTTTTTATATATTTTTTTAAAAATAATTTTCTAACTCAAAATTAAAAATTGCATGTACACACTAACATGCTCTCTTTCATGTATGTTTAACATATAAATAACCAGGTAAAAGTCTTCCATCATGAGGTACTAGAGACATAGTGCACCTATCTGATACAAATTGTACATTTTAACAAAAGATACACAAATCACTCTAGTACCAAATCAGTTCCATCATATATATACATATATCTGGTGACATTTTCCCTAAAGTGACTGCCCTCCATGCAATGGGTTAGTGTTAACTGATAACATATTGAGCAAATAAGAGGGTTCACAAACAAACTGATACTCTAATATTGAGTACAAATATTAAAATTGCACGGTGGACCCACACAGGTCAGCACTAGCAAAAACAAATGAGACATGGCCCTAAAAGGCAACCAACAGATGCCTATAATATGTAATCATAACACTGCACCAGAAAATAAATTAAAAGGCTTAGCCTTCCCAGGAATGGAAGGTTCTGTCACATGTTAAAACAAAAATCACACTAACCAGCAAATTGCAATGACTTAAATGGGTTAAGGGGGAGTAGAGTTCAACTACATTGGTCACAGTTAATCACATAATGGCACAGGGGTCATGGCACTAAACACCAGCTATTGGGATGGGAGGGGGGCTTGCAAACTATCTACCAAAATTATTTGCACAGTAATTATCCATTATTATGCATTAAGACATCAAGATGGGTTTATATATTGTTTGACAACCGTGGGATTACATCAGTATCCATGCAAAGTTAAGTACCAGGACATCAATCAGTTGACTACACATTACAAAAACTATATCAATCATCTCTGAACCTGAATATAGAAATATTACCACAGCAGTGCAAAGGAGTTTACCATAACTCTGTGACTAGACAGAACTCATCAAGACTTGTTATCAAGTATAAAAAAATCTTTTAGACAGTTCCTAGAAAATGATTGTCCACTGGTTACTTTTATGGTCAGTGCTACCATGTTTTATATGAATGATAGAGTTCTTTTTTTTTTACAATGGAAGGCTACTACTTTTTTTACAAAGTACAAATTTTTGTTAGGATACAAAAAGCTGAATCTCATTGCTTAGTAATATAAATAATAGTTATGTGCATCTGGATGAGATACTGTTGAGGAAGGTTCATTTAAAATTACCATTAATTCTTTGGTATCTGAGATCAAGCCTGATCAATGAATCTGAGATTACATCTGTCAATCACAATTATATTCATTCCAGTTGAGGAACTACTCATCCTGTATTATATGTCGGTGTAGTACTATGCACTACTGAAACAGGCACCTGACCCATGAGGTTAATAATAAATTAGTGATAGGACATTAAAAATTTAAGCCAAATATTAACTAAATGCATGCTGACTGGTTGTGTGTGCTTAACATCTATTATGTCATCTGTAGCACAGGACTTCCCTCCACCCAGCTGAACACTGCATGTCACATCACACTTTTTTGGTCTGGATAATATGAGGTAAAGCAAGAACAGGAATGCATGCCTCTCTAGATATTTAATCTAGCACCATCGAAATGGTACTGCCCTGGGACGATCGGCCCCTTCCTTGACTAGTGGCTTGTGGAATTCCCGTCCTGGGCGCGAGTGGATCTGGGCCCAGCAGTGTTCACAGTAATACTGCAGGCAAGTGACATTGGCGCAGAAGAAAGGAGCAAACTTGCCTCCACATCGGGCTCCCTGGCATTCATCACAAAGCTGGTCATCTAACACATAGGGCTTCACTTCAACCTGGATGATAAATAAGGGGGATATTAAAAATTGCTGTAAATTAATTAAATTACCAAATAAGAACTTTGCAGAGCAACACTATGCTGAACACAAAATCTGTGCATCTATAATGGTTATCAAGCCCAGGTCAAGAATTTTTCATCTTTTCCTCTTTTTTCATATGATCTCTACGACCTTATTAAAGAAGGTCAAGGTGAATCATCCACAAAGTCATCCAAAAGTCTCATGAGAGGTTTGTGTTCCAAATTATGTTCTTTTCTTTTTTTTTAATCTCCCCATTCACAAGTATGAGACGTGGATTGAAAGAGATAGATGGGTAGACCAAGGGACCATTCACAGACCCTATTGTACTGTGGATTGATCTATCTCCGAAGGGATTCTCGCTAAATTGCGATCAACTTAGGCGGCTTAGATGACTGTCACTCCTACTGAAACTGCTAGGAGGTAATTAATTATCATTTAGTAGCTTCAGTAGGAGTGCCAGACATCTAAGCTGCTTAAGCTGAAAGCAATTAAGCAAGAAACCCCTCAGATATGGATCAATCCTGTTAGAACGATCTAGGTATGGGAACCCAGCCCAATAGATTTTTTTTGCATCCTGCCATACCAGAAAAATGCCATGGTGCATAACTATTTTTTTAGGCCATAATGTAAGGTTTCACTGAAATTGATTGAAAACTGCAGTAGATGATATGCAGTTACAATTGCACACTGCAAAAGAAAGCACCCTTATTGTATATCATTGTGCAATTACATAAAAATCGTATTTAACTGCCATTTATTTCTGATTCAGTGCTTATCTGTAACTCACAAGCACTAATATCATATTGTTATGTAACACAAAGCAACAAAAAAGGGGTAAAAAAGTTATCAGTGCACTGCTGCATATTGATTGGTACAATCCCTTCAGAGAATTTACCTACATAATTCAGACACGATGTTCAATAATGTGTTCAGCACAAGAGCAATCCCCAAAAGATTACTTAACATTTCCTGTAATTTAGCCACTACTTCAGGTTCTAAGCTTCTAAAATCACTTTGATTGGGGGGGGGGGGGGGGGGGGAAGGAGTTCTCATGCACTTCAATACACAAGCTCTCCACAAATACTTTACGTGACAATTAACCTATGCCTTACCCTTTTATCTATGTCTCCATGCTGAAGTTGTACAAAGCGAGCACTGATAGCTGCTATGTAGCTCTGCTGGTTGGAAAAAGCAACTCGTCCTGCTCCTTTTGGATATTTCAACTCGGGGTCAGTGTCAATTCCAGCATAGCACACACCTCCATACAGACGGTCCATGATCATGGCCAGCTCAACTGGAAAAAAAAACACAAAAGCTATCTCTTAAACCAAGCCGTTTTCACAGTCAGTATGACCAAAATATTTTCAAAAGCTCTATTAAATATAGCTTTGCATGAAACCAGAAAGAAAACAAAATATTGTTTGTTTACATTTTCACCTCTCAATGTAAATTCACCAAGTCTACAAGCCCACTTGCAAAGGTTATAAAAACAACAGGGTATCATTGCAGGTGCCCTTCAGTGCACAACCAACCCTATCCCTATCTGCCTTTTCTCATGTGGTCTATTTGGCTAACAGTCAAACACACAGAACAGATAGCACTATATAAATTGCTGAATGTAATATAATCATGTGTAAGCCAATAATCTCCCAAGATTAGATTTTTTCATAATTTCAGTAAATGTGAACCTTCATACAATATACATGAAATCTGCTTTGAAATAACCAAAAACACATTATCAGAAGAAATAAATTATATCAAGAAATATGACATGTTTTGTGATTTAAACAGACTTTGACTTGCAAATGAGGTACAAACTTTGATATCATAGCTATAAATATAATTTAAAAAAAAACAAATATGTAAGAACTTAAGGAGTAATAAACCACCAATGAGCTAAAAATGATATTTTCCCATACCTGCTCTCAAAGGTCTAGGTACTCCCCCTACAAAAATGGTCTTCCTAGGATCAAGTGGTTGAGAGCCATCCATCACAAAGTCTGAGTCACTCAAGTTCCACGGACGAATCTGCACCTGATAACATGGGCAAATTTAAGTGTAGTTTATTTCAAAAATAATAATATCACTTTAACATGAGCATATGATATTGTATAATTATTTCAGTAAACTCTGAAAACAGTCAACAAAATTTACAAACATCTATGCTACAAATTAAAACAGCAAAATCAACACATGGAGAATGTTAGCTTTAAATTCAGCAATTAGCAGATTCCAAAAACCAGTATATCGGCACATGTTTAAATACCACTTACAATAATAACTGATCAACTGACTATAGCACATTTTAAATATCTGTGGGGAAAAAAGCAACTTACTGGTTTATCTTTCATGGTCGGGCTTGATACACACCAATATAACTTGCCATCATCAACAATACATGCATCGATTAATGCCTGAACAGACAACTCATCTTGGAACAGTAAGAAGCAATATCCTATTAAAAGAAAAATGTTTTTTTCAAAAAAGGAGTAATGAGAGGTCAAATGATTCAAACATCCATCTTTCAATAATTAAACCAGTATTTTCTTTCTCACATTTCAAACATTTTTACAAAAAGCTATAACATAGTTGGAAACCACAGTAGTAAAGTAAGCAAACCAAATGATCATTTACAAAATGAAAAATACAAAATGTACCTTTTGGAGGAAAGTAAGATTTGCTCTCTGCTTTGTGGGGCCAATCTACAACCAGAGGTCCAAATCGCCTAAATGCAGCAGTTATCTCTTCTGTGAAGCAAAAACAAGATTGGTTAAAATAAAGACCTGGTATGTTTTGGTTTAAAATAAATATGTGAATGATTTCAATACCCATTCAGTTACAGAAATCTCACCCTTAAGAAAATACATACATATCCTTTATTCCTTACCTTCATCAATGTCAGGTGGCAAGCCTCCAACGAAAACCTTTCTGGAAAATCTTTCTACCCTCTCCATGCCGGCTTCAGTTCGAGGAGACCCACTTGAAGGGGTTCCCAGGCTTCCAGGAACAGTCTGGTCCAGAGAACCATCCTCAAGGAGGTGATGATCTTCCACAAAACCAAAAGGAGATTTCCCTTCAGGTAAAAATAAAATTACATTCGTTTTGACAAAAAGTACATAAAAACTGCTCGAAACATTCAATATACTACATTAATTTTGTGATAGCTGAAATAATTCTTTAAATGAATAATTTAATCATTTTAATCACTTTTATCATCTCTTCGATAAATGAAAAGAAAAATCAAATGAAATGGGCACCAAAATGAGTTGACAATAAAATTTAAACAAAATGGATAACAAATATACTTTGTTTATCAGTGCTACAAATAATAATCATCTGTTTCTAGATAATAAATATATGTTTTAAGCTGAATTATATTAGATTAATATAACCAGTAAATATTTTTTGTAGAACTGAATAATGTATAAACTCCTTGAAAAAGTCCAAAATATTGCAAAAATACCTAAATTGTACGAGAAAATATAAAAATTTTATCTGTTACAAAAAAGGTCCAATGATAAGAATAACAATAAACAGATACATTTAAAACTGTTTGAAAATGTTTCAAACCAAGAAAGGTACAACCATATGACTTCAGTAACAACATAGATATGGATAAAACATCGAAGTTTCCACAAGGTTATTAACGTTTTAAACAATGGCCTCTATTCAGAAATCATGATATCATCTTAGGCAAATAAAAAATATGTGTAGCAAATATAAGTTCTATCTAATTTTGTCCCCTCAAATGCACCCCTAACATCATGACATTAACCCCCCAAAAAACATCGATATAATAACTCTTAATTCCTTTCAATCCTCTGTGTGATATCATGCACCAAAAGCCTATGATTTGTACTACTTCAAATGGGTAATGTGGTGCACAGAATATCCAAATGATGAAATTAAAAGATTTGTGCAGTTATTGGCAAAGCTATACAACATAATACAACTGACATTCTGAATAGTTCTAAGTCAAACACAATGATGCTAACATATTATAAAACACTAGAAATCTAAATATATGAAATAACTGAGGTACATTCAAAATAATAAGTCATTTCTTTTTATTTCAGCAATTATTGTACTGTATTTTTCTTAAAATAACTTTGTACCATTTTCTAACCTTCACAAGTCAAAAGATTCCATATATTTGCAAAGTAAGAATGCATGAACAGAATAAATTGAAGGAAAAACAACAGTATATTATATTTAATAAAAAATTATCAAAATAAGAACAGGATTAAACAACATTAATATAAACATCCAATGTAGAATTACAAACAACCCAGCCTCATTGATATAAAACACATAACTGAAGCAGTTCTGAGCAAAACAACACCTATTGTGTACCTCTGCGTCTTCCATAAGGACGAGCTGCTCATGTAATTGAAGAAAAGAAGTTATGTACCTCATAAATGTGTAATATCCAATAGATGACATAAAAGACTAAGAACACTGCTGTGCACATGCTACCACAGGCCAAAGCAAACAATCTTATTTCTAGCAAGGACTGGAGGATGGGATTGAACTAAATCTTCCTGTGCTAAATTGGATTTACTGTGAAAATAGTAATTCTTTCAACATAGCTTGAAATGACGCAAGTTGGAAGGCAGGAGCTAGTGCTGCTGAACCACATACAGGTCACTCTACCCAAAATGCAACCTTTCAGTTCCCAACTAGCCCAAGGCTGTCACATCTTCAGTGCGCATTATGGGTTAAAATAGAAGCATGAAGACTGCTCAGCTTGATAAAAACCGTGTGACATAAACCTTTCAGTTATTAGAAATGCTTTTTGCTTTCTAGTGAGTGAAACTTTTCTGAATGCCAAATTACTGAATGCTTTACCAAAGTGGTAAGATAACATCTTAAATGTTTAGACTACCAATAATAAAACATACATGACCAAAGCATAGTCCAATTACATCTTTAAAGAATTATTTGACATATGAAATGGTAACAAGGACATTTAGGACAGATACATATATCTACTACTGGTATAAGTACATGGCAATTTCATTGAACTGCAGTTGTACACATTTCTGTTATACACAGAGTGCCATTACATTTCCTTACGTCTGATCACAATGGGTTGATATTACTTCATTTATCAATATGTCTTGAAGCATTGTCTCAACTATCAAGCATATAATGAAATGACGAAGAAGTCTTAAGAATTATGCTATTTCTACCAATATATTGATCGGCATGGTCCATAATTACTTTCTACTGACTGTGAAATCAACCCTTCCACAAGGGTAGCAACTGTGATCACATGCCTTACAAAAGTTATTGATCTCCTGAGAAGAAAGAGTTAAGAATATGAATATTGAGTGTAGATTGTGACAGAAAATGTTCAATAGTCTTTAACATCAGTCTTTGTCATGACCATTCTCATCTCTAGCAGAATTTGGTCATTAGACAGATAGGCATAATAAATTGCTTCTGAACATGCAAAACTCAGGTGAGTACAGTATGTTACCATATGGCAAATAATAATCCCCTGAAATAAAATATTGAATACCTGCACATTTGTGGTTACTTTGCAACTTTTCACCTGTATTTTGCATACTGATGATGAATAGCTTATTACTCTGCAGATCCTTACACTACCGGGGGGAGAACAGGAAAATCCCTGTCAGTATACTGGTTCACCTCCAAGGACTGTCTTATGCCTCAGACGATGTACCAAGCAGCCAATATAACACTCAGTTTCAAACATTAACAGCGTGCAGACTTCACATTTAAAACACAAGTTGAAGTGGTATATTTCTAACAACTAAATGACTTACATAAAAAAGACTTATTGAAGAAATATAGCCGTTTTTAGACATTGTTGGTCTGCTGGTGTTTAAGGCAAAGGGGGCAAAAAGCTGGCCTGAAATATTTCACAAATGGCTTTTGATCTTGCCTTCAACACTATTCTCTTAATGCCTTATCTGAATTGATTCATTCAAAACACTGAATCAAAACATGTTTTTCAGTTCTTTTTCTGAATATGTATCACCTTAACTGAAATCCTAAAGTCGTGCCTCATAGCCTCTCTGTATGACCATGCACTTCAAGGTTTAAATGAAGTTCAAATGTTTTAACTTTATATACTAGTACTAAAACTGACCACATGAAACTAATAACTAGGATTTATATCTTTATCTAGATATCCTGTTTACAAGACAGACTTGACCACATGAAAAACGGTGTGCTACTAACAGCTGGCACACCTATGATTGGTATTTCAGTGAACACTCAACCATCATGTAGTATATAATATACAAGAAATAAACACATATTCAACACTTTATGGGATGCTTGTTAGTTAAAAACTGTTTGAGGGATTGTTTAAAATTGTTTCCATGGTTTTATTTCAGCTGACAGTCCAAAATCCATAACAGAAACAACACTGGGTGAACTTGAAATGTTCTACCTGAAATAATCAATGGGGTTTTCATGCATAAGAGGAGGTGTTTATGCTAGCTCTGAATAAAATAACCAATACAACAGGCTATTTATATTCAGTAAAGCCTTGACAAATATATGGAGAAACAACTTTTGTAAGAACTTAGCTGAAATCCATCTGCTAATTTTAGACCTACAAGTAAGACACAACAAGAAGAAAAAACAAACCCTCACATTTAGATTGCTTTTTTATAAAGTAGGGTCAGACAAGATTTATCTAAATTTAAATCATAACAGTGGTGTGGAATAAACTGCCTCGGCTATGATATATTTCCACTTGTTCTCAATAGAAATTCTTCCATGTTCAAAGATGGAAATACGTGTATTGATTTTTTAATACATTCTCAGGCCTACACATATCTATACAAAGCAGCCTGCAAATGGCAAACACCCACACTCAATGTGAATAGAACCTAGTTTTGAGATTAGCTCTGACGTAAATGCCTGCATCACACTTCACAGTTAAGAATATAAATTTGATTATAGACTACAAGCTTCACAGAGCTTGCCAGTAAATTTAATCTTAGTGTATAACATATACATATATCCAGTGAACCTATATGAAATCCATGACTTTGGTTGAACTACATTGTGGCCTAAAGCAAACCCAGGTGACTGGGTTTCAGAGCTGACTAATGATATTCGAGATATGAAATTGGGGACATATCACTATACAGTGGATGAAAGATTATGAATGCAAAACTAAATGCCCCAAGTATATGTATGTACAGAATAATTTTCATTAACATTCTATTTCTCCAGCCAGCATATTTTGGTCCCACTGATAAAGTTATTATGAATGCCAAAAGTATTAATAGGCAAAATTTGTGAAACTCTTCCTAATATGAAAATAGGAGCACATTATCATTTCAAAGTTAATACATACAGTACTTGACTAATGCCAGAACAAGAAATGAAAGCATTAATTTTAATCAGAGATTATATCCAGATTTAAACTAAATCCAGTTTACCATACTTAGATAAGTAATATATGCCTTCTTAAAGAGTATGCTTGAACATTTTGGGATATCAGTAGCTTGTTTTATTGACTTGATATACATATAGTATTCTACCTTTGAAATTTGCTTGTTGCTGATGCTGTGGCTGCTGCTGTTCCACTGCAGTTTGTCGCATTATATCAAGCAGCTGGCTCTCTAGGGTTGGGAATCGCATGCTGTCATAATTATTTTGATCCTGAAAGAAATTGGCAGATGTGGTTTTATTGTAGAAAAGAGGGAATGACCAATTAACCAAAATTTCATATCTGTATTTCATGAAGTCATACAACTGACCAAAAGACCCATATTATACTTCTAGCGGTAAAAATGCCCGTAAGTTTCATTATATCTTTGGGTGGATCCTCAAAATACTAATTAGGATTTACTTATAGAAATGCTGTGGCATCAAGACATCTGTCACAAACACAAGCTCTGCATAAGCTATTTATTTGTGTCTGAAATCAATCCACAGCTGCTCAGAGCTCCAAAAATCTGTTGGTCAATATTAGGAGAATAAAGGTTGGGTTACTGAAATGACCTTTCAAATCTCATATATTTAAGTGCTAAATGAAAATTTAGTAAATATGTAATCTTAAATTCTATGTTTTTGCTTAAGTGATCAGAGACCTTGATCATCAATATAAATACATTATTCCTTAAAAGAATTTCAAGAGTAATGTTATGATAAAATGTTATATACCTGCATTCCACTCATCTGATTCATTGAATTTGCTTCATCTACACTGCTGAAAGTCTCAAAGCCAGGTTTAGTTGCCATCTGTGGAGGTTGTTGCATGTGCCCTGGATATGAGGTACTTCGTCTAAATTTGGACGGGGTGAGGAACATGTTTTGTTTTCTCATAGAACCTCCCATTTGGGCAGGGTTAAAGGTTGGCATGTTTGGCACAGATCGCCGATTTGGCTGAATATTACCCCACATATTAGCCTGCTGCTGTTGTTGTTGATGCCCAGGCCAGGACTGGTGTGGGGGGTTACTCCAAGAGGGATAGCCTTTGGAGTTATTCACATAAACATGGTTCCCCATATTTCCAGGCTGATTTCTCTGCTGTCCAAACTGATTGTGTGTCCCTCCAGTTATGGCCCTTCTTGGTGGCTGGGCTTGCTGAGGCATTCCCATACTCATCTGAGGGGGAGCAACATTAGTGTTAAACATTGCTGGGTTAGTTGGGGGAGGAAAATTTTGAAATGTTACGGTTCCATTGAGAGCCTGAAACCCCTGAAGAAAAGTATCATCAATGGTTGCTGCTGAAGACCATGGAGCTTGGCTAGGCAACGAGTTTACCATAGCACTATTCACAGAAGCCGGGTCGACAAGACCAACAAATTCTGTAGTGGTCACTACTGTTTGGGCAGGTGCTGCAGACTCAATATTTTTTTCATCTTGTTGCTGGGGGGATTCGATCTGCGTTACGTTAACCGTATTGCAGGGCGAGTTCTGCTCTGGACTCTGGCTATCTGGAGTTGGTGAGCTCTGCTCTGTACTTACTACTGTTTTCTCAACCTGCGTTTCATGACGATTTTCATGATCTTGCATTGTGCTGGTCGAAGATGAGACAATGTCTGCTGAAAACAAAGACTGGTTGTTCGATAAATTGTTCAATCCGACTGGTGATAATACTCTTATATTGGAAGCCAAACTCACTCCGTAATCCCCCATCAAGTTTTTGGCAATCGGTTCTCTTTTTAAGTTAGTCAGATCAGTCTTCAGGGGAATTTTTTTTGCTCCAGATCGCCACGTCTGCTGGTGTCCTTTTGCAACGCACGATACTGTGGCCTCGGTATCGAATATTTCTTTTCGCCGGAGGTTTCTGTATCACCAATATGTGAATAAAATATTTCAAACAATATACTTCCCCCTACTCTACGTTATATAGTAATTGTATTAGATTCAGTTCGATATCATCTATAGTGTGGAAGATAATCATAAGTATATTTACGTTGTGATACGAGTATTAAGAAAATTCATCGCATAGGGTGCCTTGAAACTGACGACGTAAGGTCGCTTTAGGTCGAAGGGAAACAGGATAATGACCTTAGGCTAATATTACCGATTGTACAATTTAACATTCGCCAAAAATCAGATAATATACGTGAAAATGTTTGAAAAAAAACATAATTGTGTTGTTATTTGTTGCTTCGTTTTTTTTAACAGTATGTGCACCTACAGTGGTTTATGATAAAAATATTCCAGTGGGAAGATAATGTAATAATTCACCTTTGACCTACTGGTATAGTGCCCAGGGATGGAGGATCATATGGATGTAAAACTAAAAGCATTTCCTGCTTTATAATTATATTAATGATAAGAATGTTAGAAAGTGATATATATTTTTTGACTCAGCCATTATAGATTCATTTTTTCTTTTCACTATGAACTTATTTTTGTGTGGCCGTTGTCACAATTATTGGAGGGAAGAAACACGTACTGCACGTACTCGATCCTTTGCACTATTCATCACATGTCCCTGTAACAAAGGGCAACAAAGTAAAATCCTAGGTATCAGTATCCCCCCCCCCTTGAATTCACAACTTACAAGTCTTTGATTATTTCTACATTTCATGTGAGATATTTTATACCTTTATTAAAATATTTCATTTCATTTATCAGAAGTCCATTCTTATTCAAGTACTTACTTTTTCATTATTCATACAACTTTTTTGATGCATTATTATTATTATTATTATTATTATTATTATTATTATTATTATTATTATTATTATTATATCTTGTCTTTTTATAAGTCTCTGAAAATTTAGATAAAAGAATACAAAAAAATGAATATTCTTTATAAAGAAAAAGAAATTCTTTAGTGCATCTTTGGCCATTTTAAGTGATGCGTCATGCACATTCAGTTTTTGTCTAGGCTACTTCAGTATTTTATTGAAAAGATGCATATATAATATATGTACAGGTAGGTGTGCATAATAATAATAATAATAATATTAATAATAATAATGATGATGATGATGATTGTGGTGATGATAAAAAACTAAAACATCAAATGCCAAGTTATAAAGAAAATAATAATATGATGATGAGGATGATTTTTGTAATAATACAAAAAAACTAAAATTTCAAGTGACAAGTTATAAAGATAATGATATAAAGTTATGACATAGATCTAATGTTTTTTTTTTTTATGCTTATTTTTCTGGGTAATCAAAAAGAAAAGAAAAATCGGAAACACGTGGATTGACTTTCAACTTACAAGTACCCCTGTAGACTTACTGGCACTTACACTTCACCAAATAAAAAATATTGATGCCCTAGGCCTATTTTCGAGAAAAAAAAACTGAAAATTGTTTTGGTTTCTCCATGAGGAACGACCACGTACCGGTACGTTCTCTAAAAATTCATAGAGATATCGGATATCAAATTATTTATATCTTGCAAAAAATTTGGAAAGCCTCATTTCTTTCTTGCGTTGTCTGGATGATTTATATATAAACAAAAAAGAAAAGAAAGAAATAGAAAAGAAAAAATGCCGATTCAGTGGATGGTAAACTTTTAAATCTGTGACCCCCCCCCCCCCACCCCCCTCAATCCTTGTTTCCGCTTTTGGTTACTCGGTACACTAAGGGATTATGGGAGTGGGGAGAGTTAGTTCCGGTTTGATAATGGTAACATGGACTGACCTTATTACGAGTTATCGAGAGACCTAGCTCTTAGTAAACATTTTACGCGTTCTATATGGCTAACTTTTTATAGGGTCAAAATGGGTGTTTAATTGTAGGACACTTTTATTTGATGACATAATTAACATTTTCGGCAGAACACAGCAGTCAGGGGACTTCTATGTGTGACGGCGTCGACAAAAAAATTGAACAGTCTACACAAGATCTTCAGTTTTACTAGACTGGCTAGTTGAATCCGGAAGAGAACTGTCATCTTAAACAAGACTGTTGTAAAAGTGAAACAATATCGGTGATCTGAAGCCATGGCACGAGCACAGGTACAAACGCAGCTAGAAGAGGACCTGAGGTAATGTCTAATGTGTCTATGCAGAGTATGCCCCCCCCCCCCAAACCTGAATTTACAACTTACAAGTCTTTGATTATTTCTTAATTCGTTATGTGGTTACTTTGATCATTGTGTCTGCTACCAGAAATATATTANCCCCCCCCCCCCCCCCAACCTGAATTTACAACTTACAAGTCTTTGATTATTTCTTAATTCGTTATGGGTTACTTTGATCATTGTGTCTGCTACCAGAAATATATTAGTTTGGAAGTGTTCGTAAAGTTTTTCTGTTTTTTTTTTTTCCTATTTCATGCAAGCCCATTGAAAGAGAGTTGCCGTCATTTCAAGGGTAAATCTATTAACATGAAAAATCAGTAAAAAGCAAAACCAGTTCATCTGAATAGCAGAAACATTGATGAAAGTCACCAATTTCTGAGATTAGAAAAACCTGAAAAAGCTAAGACTTCATACCAGTACCTCCAAACATAACATGCCCACATATTACCTTTCCATAACAAATCCCAGTATTCCGAAATAGTTTTTTTTTCATGGATATTGATTTGTATTTGGACAAGATGTCTCAACAACTTCTTCACAAATCTTGATGACATTTTCAGGACAGACAATTATATTCAGGAAGGAAAGAAGTGATAACAATCTCAGCTTGAACTGGGTCTTCTAATATTTTTTAGCATAAGTAGGCAGTTTGGATGTGTATCAGATGATGGTGGGATGACATGATAATTAATGCATTTTCAATTTGTAGTTTAATAACTTTGTTACATTTTTTATTTCATTACATTACGTATAATCTACATGTTTGTTATCATAGGTCTGTGCTCTCTGAGAGATCTATAGTTTTTGTAAGTTTAATTTTAAGAAACCTCTTTGTTTTAGACGCACCTGTTGGGTTTGTTTTGCCACTGATGAAGATGACCGCAGTGCCCTCTGGGTCAAGCCTTGCAAGTGTAAAGGAACATCAAAATGGGTACATCAGGCCTGTTTGCAGAGATGGATCGATGAAAAACAAAGAGGAAACAGCACAGCCAAAGTATCATGCCCACAATGCAATACAGAATATATAATAATTTTTCCAAAATTAGGCAAGTTTTCCTTTTTTTAAATATATAGAATTTAAAGGTTAAGAGGACCATGCATGGTATTTTTGTTCCTTAAAGCTTCTTATTTTCTTGTAGAAAGTGTGTATAGACATGTTAATATTCAAGGTACATGTTACATAGCTGAAATATTTCTAAGTTCAGATCCTGATAGATTGCTGATTGTCAACTACAAAGTGGGATACTGTTAGGATACTAGGAAAATTTGTAATTGTTTGTTATATTTGTATCATGTTGCACCTTAAACCTTATGGTTTCTTTGAAGTAATCAAATGTTGTTTTTTTTTAATGTTTGAGTTTTTTTTACTGAGTTGTTATTATGAAACCCAAAGTCAATTACAACATACCTTTTGGATTTTTAAATCAAATATTTTAATTATAGAAAAGAAAAAAGTAAGTTAGCATAATATGGCATTTTTTCTTTTCTTTTCTATAGGTTCAGTTGTTTACCTCATGGATGTAGCTGATCGAATAATCTACAAAACATGCCCATTTCTTGCTGGAGGGATATTTGTTGGATCAGTATACTGGACAGCTGTAACATATGGAGCTTTGACTGTGATGCAGGTTGCTAACAATAGATATGTTAATTTCAGCAATACAGCAAAAAAAAATGTTGTGTACTGCTTAATGCTAATAACTATTATAGCATAATTACCATGATTGTTTTTGATTGTGAAATTTTCATGTTTTATAAAAAAATATCTCTATACACTTTTGATAGTTTTGAACCAAGGGATATTCATTTAACACATTGAAAAAAGGGTGTAATCCATTTAATTATTTAGGTATTTGGACATACAGAGGGTCAGTCCAAAATGGAACAAGCAGACCCACTGTTTCTGCTCCTGATCCTCCCTGCCATACCAGTTATGTTGATCCTATCCAAAATGGTGCGATGGGAAGATTATTTCTTAAAAATATGGAGGAAACATTCTTCAAAAGTGCCTTTCCTCAATCTCTTATTCCCAGGATGTAAGTCATTTGTGATCATCTCTACATTATGTGTGATATTTCATTGTCACCTCTTTTTACTCCAACTTTCCTTGCCTACATATTGAAAAATTTGCAATATTTTCTTTTCTGGTGATTGGATATACACAGTATTTTTGAAACCAATACCCAATACTTTGACATCAGTAATCAACTTGAGTTTAGAAAAATATTATACCAATATGTTATTTCTTGATTTACTAACACCACTAATGCATCCAGTTTTTATATGTTTACAATGTAGCCCAGAATCGACTCCAGCGTGTTCCAGCTCAGCCGAGCCCTCTCTCAGATCCAGTCTCTGCCACCCGAGTTTTGTGTGGAGCTCTGGTGCTTCCCACTGTGGCTACAATGGCTGGGAAACTTATGTTTGGTAATATCAGGTCCAATTTTCAGAGAACTCTTATGGTAAGTGTTTGTTCAAAGCTATTGTTTTGCATACACGCATATGTTTGCAAGCAACCAAAGCAAGAATGGCATTTGGTATTTAATAATAATGATAATAATAATACACTTCTTTAAAACCGCGCTACACATGCGTCTCAGCGCTGTTTACATAAAAAATATAACTCCACAGATAAATCAAAGCCAGTATAGACTAAAAACAGAATACTTAAAAATTTTAAAAACTAAAAAGATGCTATAAATTAAAGTATTCTTTAAATAAAAAAGTTTTTAAATTCTTCTTAAAACGGTAATATGAGTCATCCAGAGACACATTAGATCTTGTGATAAAATTAGACCATAAAATCAGTGCACAAATCTCGAAACTTCTGTGTCCATATGTCTTAAGAGTCTTTTTTGTGTCTTTTCGCTTAAGTTGAAGTTGTCCACTAGATCGAAGTGATCTGATAGGAGTTAAAAGTTCTATGGTAGAGTTTAAGTAAAATGGACAGTCGCCCTTTAAAATCTTAAAAGTCAAAAATAACATTTTAAAAACTATTCGTTGAGACACGGGTAGCCAGTGGAGGTTTCGCAGAATTGGTGTGATGTGGTCGGACTTCTGAGCTTTACAGAGGAGACGAGCAGCAGAGTTCTGAATTGATTGTAGCTTTTCCATTTGATAGTTAAGTATTCCAAACAATAGGCNGTAATTGTATATGTTGGTAGAAAAAGGAAGGTCTTTATATATTATTTAAAATGACAGCATTAGAAACATTATTTTTCATTTTCAGTACGTAAGTGATTTGGTATGTTTAAACCTCTTAAAGAAATTATTTTCACCATGTTTTTAATCAATTTCAGGGAGGAGTAGCATTCATTTTAATCAAAGGGGTATTGAAGATATACTACAAACAGCAACAGTATTACAGGCAAGCTCAGAGGCAGGTTTTGGATTATCCATCAGATTCAGAGTGAACTTGACGCGTACACTGAGACTAAGCCATGTAGATTATATTTAAAGAATTGAGTTTTCATTGATGGTAGAAGGGATATGCAGTAAGTGTATTGATGTATGATATACCTTAAACATTATTAAATCATTTCACTGAGTACTTCTTCAACATACTGATTGAATTTTTTTTTAATGAAGAGGTTTATAGTTTTTTTTTTCAAAAGAGATACTGTTTAAAGTTTGTTGTTAAAAAGATTAATATTAACATGTACATTTTGTGCTTTGCAAATTAGTAAGGATTTTAATTAACATACCACCACACTAATATGGATATTTGGCACAGTTACTAAGTGACAAGTATTGTCAGTTTTAAAACTTTCTGCCAAAAAGAGAAATTACTGTTTATTACATGATAGTTTCTCATTTTCTGCACATGGTTTGTTATCTGATGTTATTTCAAACACTATTTAGTTGATGTGTTTCATCTCAGATTTATTTAAAAAGGAAGTTTGGCAGGTAAAAGGTCAAATTAAGTAGTATTGGTTAGGATTTAAAAAAAAAATATGCATTTTTGTTGCATAAATTAATTTAGAAGTGCATATGTATTCCGTAAGTCTTTTTATGAAACATTTTACGATTCACGCATTTAACACTGGAATCACTTCTTACTATGATCTGTATTAAACAGAAATATATTGGTGACAGATAATATTATGGCTACTGCACTGGGCCTGTTTTTGGCCCATTTCATGAATTCATACTATATTTTAAAGAATGCAGGATATAACTTGAGTGGTATGCTTCCTTTTATTCATAACCAAGTATGCAAATTAATGCAGAACAGTTACTTGGCACAGACATACATGGATACTGTGTTTTAAGTATTGGGCGACAAGCAAGTGATGATTTTAGGAATGATAAAAAAGTAAAGAGTACCAGTAAAATGGTTAAGGAAGTGTCTCATAGTGAGCTACCTAACAATTTATTTGTAAGCATTTCACTCGAAGTCAAGGATTGTTGATAAATGTGAATAAATGTGAATAAATGCCCTCTAACTGTTAATGGCTCTTTTTGTATTTTGTATAAGCTTTAAGAAGAGGTACAAATGAGGTGCATTTTGGGAGGACATGAAGTTAGGATTGCAAGAAAAGCAAAACTTCAACTATCTACATTTCAAAACCATGTCCTCAGAGCTTAATGTTTCATTTATTTCTATCACTTAACATTTGCTGGGACATTGGAGAGACTAATGTAAATTCTACATCACACCATGTATAATCTGATCATGATTTATAAAGTAAAATGCAGTGATTAGGTTAAGCAACCTAGCTTATCATTTGACCCAAGGTAGCTTGGAGATTTTAAAGACTAGTTTGGAAAACATTTTAATAGAACGTGATTTGGTAATCATTGTCAGACTTGCAAAATTAAGAGATTTCTAGAACAAAGGTACCTTGTTAAGAATGTTCCTCAGTCTGCGGAAAAATATTGATGTAATCTTAAAATCAGTGGGATCAACTGTGTAAACTTACAAACAAAAACTGAACATCTAGGTGTTTATCATTTATTGGATGTCATCATGACAAACTGCGTGTACTGAATATGTAAATCTCGGGTGAAATCAAGAATAAAAACACTAATATGTTTAAGAAATTGTAAAGAAATGAAAAAATTTAACATTTACAGATGCAAAAATGTACAATTCATGATACCAACACAACAGTTGTCAACTCCATGAATTGATTGGTTTAATGGTACCAAAATGATTCCATAACTATCTGAACACAGGATGACTTATAAAAGTTGCATATGAAGTGAGCATGGGTTCCCTATCAATTATATAAACCACTTCTACTCGTTTCTTATAATTCTCAAATATAGTTGACATATCAAGGGATAAACCAAATTAAACCTGTGATCAGCCAAAAAATACCTTCAAAACTGCACCTTTTTCAAATTTCTGGTTCCAAACTTGGCTTATTTATCCATCCATCCCTCCAGTTTGTAAAAGTCTGCCAACTGACATAGTAATGCATGGCGCATTACTGGTGCAGGCAACGACATCAATATTCAGACAAGACTTGATAAAAACAACCAAGGGTTATGTAAACAGTACAGAAAAAAGGCAAAAAATATCTGTTGAAATGTCATTCTTTCTAAATATGAGACAATACCCTTTGGTATTTCATTCAGTTATGCTATGTGAAATTATGATGGTGTTTGGTCAGGCTAAGTGGCAAAGCTTTCACTTCATATGTAACTTTAAGCAACACTGAAAATCTATAATATCATTTTAATATGGTATAGTAATTAATAAATGCACATATATTACCAACATGAAGGAGATTGGACTCAAAAATTCTTATTTTCTTAAGCAAATGACTTCACCAAAGTATTGCATAAGAACTTGTGATGATTGCCAACAACTTACAATGTACTAAGTTGGTTTACTGTGAAATTATTATTAACAATAATAATAATAATAATCTTTTCATGTGAATTTTAAATAAATATCACCCCATTAAAATATAAAGTAAATGTGCACAAAATATTTCATCTGCCTTTAGAAATGAGAGGTAAAATTGTGTGATGGCTTATGAATAAGATGCAGTGATGCTGTCCATTTTCATAATCATTATGATCGTTAATGTGCTGATATGGTGTCAAAACCTGAGGATCAACAAATGAAACAGATCCTAAAACGTTAATATGTAATCAGATCTATTACACTGACAGCCAAGTGAGTAAGATTTACTACTACACTCTGAAAAACTTATTTTTACAGTTAATTAAATACACGAAAAATACCATCACTGGCAAAACTAGAATTTAAGAATGAATATCTGAATAGATATTTTACATAAAAGTATCTTGTGATATACTGTTACCCTCTTGGGCTCTTTCAGCTTTCGATTAAAATGATTTTCCCTAAAATGAGGTGCAGCAATAGTGCAACAAACACAACAACAACTAGAGGATCAGAGAGGCGATACCGCCTCCGAATATTGTACCACCANAAACTGACAGCATTAGAAACATTATTTTTCATTTTCAGTACGTAAGTGATTTGGTATGTTTAAACCCCTTAAAGAAATGATTTTCACCATGTTTTTATTCAATTTCAGGGAGGAGTAGCATTCATTTTAATCAAAGGGGTATTGAAGATATACTACAAACAGCAACAGTATTACAGGCAAGCTCAGAGGCAGGTTTTGGATTATCCATCAGATTCAGAGTGAACTTGACGCGTACACTGAGACTAAGCCATGTAGATTATATTTAAAGAATTGAGTTTTCATTGATGGTAGAAGGGATATGCAGTAAGTGTATTGATGTATGATATACCTTAAACATTATTAAATCATTTCACTGAGTACTTCTTCAACATACTGATTGAATTTTTTTTTAATGAAGAGGTTTATAGTTTTTTTTTTTTTTTTCAAAAGAGATACTGTTTAAAGTTTGTTGTTAAAAAGATTAATATTAACATGTACATTTTGTGCTTAGCAAATTAGTAAGGATTTTAATTAACATACCACCACACTAATATGGATATTTGGCACAGTTACTAAGTGACAAGTATTGCCAGTTTTAAAACTTTCTGCCAAAAAGAGAAATTACTGTTTATCACATGATAGTTTCTCATTTTCTGCACATGGTTTGTTATCTGATGTTATTTCAAACACTATTTAGTTGATGTGTTTCATCTCAGATTTATTTAAAAAGGAAGTTTGGCAGGTAAAAGGTCAAATTAAGTAGTATTGGTTAGGATTTTAAAAAAAGATATGCATTTTTGTTGCATAAATTAATTTAGAAGTGCATATGTATTCCGTAAGTCTTTTTATGAAACATTTTATGATTCACGCATTTAACACTGGAATCACTTCTTACTATGATCTGTATTAAACAGAAATATATTGGTGACAGATAATATTATGGCTACTGCACTGGGCCTGTTTTTGGCCCATTTCATGAATTCATACTATATTTTAAAGAATGCAGGATATAACTTGAGTGGTATGCTTCCTTTTATTCATAACCAAGTATGCAAATTAATGCAGAACAGTTACTTGGCACAGACATACATGGATACTGTGTTTTAAGTATTGGGCGTCAAGCAAGTGATGATTTTGGGAATGATAAAAAAGCAAGAAAGTACCAGTAAAATGGTTAAGGAAGTGTCTCATAGTGAGCTACCTAACAATTTATTTGTAAGCATTTCATTCGAAGTCAAGGATTGTTGATAAATGTAATCTGTGAATAAATGCCCTCTAACTGTTAATGGCTCTTTTTGTATTTTGTATAAGCTTTAAGAAGAGGTACAAATGAGGTGCATTTTGGGAGGACATGAAGTTAGGATTGCAAGAAAAGCAAAACTTCAACTATCTACATTTCAAAACCATGTCTTCAGAGCTTAATGTCTCATTTATTTCTATCACTTAACATTTGCTGGGACATTGGAGAGACTAATGTAAATTCTACATCACACCATGTATAATCTGATCATGATTATGGTTTACAATTTATAAAGTAAAATGCAGTGATTAGGTTAAGCAACCTACCGTAGCTTATCATTTGACCCAAGGTAGCTTGGAGATTTTAAAGACTGATTTGGAAAACATTTTAGTAGAATGTGATTTGGTAATCATTGTCAGACTTGCAAAATTAAGAGATTTCTAGAACAATGATACCTTGTTAAGAATGTTCCTCAGTCTGCGGAAAAATATTGATGTAAAAAATCAGTGGGATCAACTGTGTAAACTTACAAACAAAAACTGAACACCTAGGTGTTTATCATTTATTGGATGTCATCATGACAAACTGCGTGTACTGAATATGTAAATCTCGGGTGAAATCAAGAATAAAAACACTAATATGTTTAAGAAATTGTAAAGAAATGAAAAAAATTAACATTTACAGATGCAAAAATGTACAATTCATGATACCAACACAACAGTTGTCAGCTCCACGAATTGATTGGTTTAATGGTACCAAAATGATTCCATAACTATCTGAACACAGGACGACTTATAAAAGTTACATATGAAGTGAGCATGGGTTCCCTATCACTTATATAAACCACTTCTACTCGTTTCTTATAATTCTCAAATATAGTTGACATATCAAGGGATAAACCAAATTAAACCTGTGATCAGCCAAAAAAATACCTTCAAAACTGCACCTTTTTCAAATTTCTGGTTCCAAACTTGGCTTATTTATCCATCCCTCCAGTTTGTAAAAGTCTGCCAACTGACATAGTAATGCATGGCGCATTACTGCTGCAGGCAACAACATCAATATTCAGACAAGACTTGATAAAAACAACCAAGGGTTATGTAAACAGTACAGAAAGCAGGCAGAAAATATCTGTTGAAATGTCATTTTTTTCTAAATATGAGACAATACCCTTTGGTATTTCATTCAGTTATGCTATATGAAATTATGATGGTGTTTGGTCAGGCTTAGTGGCAAAGCTTTCACTTCATATGTAACTTTAAGCAACACTATGAAAATCTATAATATTATTTTAATTTGGTATAGTAATTAATAAATGCACATATGTGACCAACGTGAAGGAGATTGGACTCAAAAATTCTTATTTTCTAAAGCAAATGACTTCACCAAAGTATTGCATAAGAACTTGTGATGATTGCCAACAACTTACAAAGTACATATAGTTGGTTTACTGTGAAATTATAATTAACAATAATAATAATAATAGTTTCATGTGAATTTTAAATAAATATCACCCCCATTAAAATATAAAGTAAATGTGCACAAAATATTTCATCTGCCTTTAGAAATGAGAGGTAAAATTGTGTGATGGCTTATGAATAAGATGCAGTGATGCTGTCCATTTTCATAATCATTATGATCATTAATGTGCTGATATGGTGTCAAAACCTGAGGATCAACAAATGAAACATCCTAAAATGTTAATATGTGATCAGATCTATTACACTGACATCCAAGTGAGTCAGATTTACTACTACACTCTGAAAAACTTATTTTTACGGGTAATTAAAAACACGAAAAATACCATCACTAGCAAAACTAGAATTTAAGAATGAATATCTGAATAGATATTTTACATAAAAGTATCTTGTGATATACTGTTACCCTGTTCAGCTTTCAATTAAAATGATTTCCCCTACAATGAGATGCAGCAAAAGTGCAACAAACACAACAACAATTAATACAGTTTTGAATATTTTCACAATTTTGACTTGGTGCTGCTAGGGTTAATGTATGGCTTCACTAATGGAAACAATGGGAGCTCCTGCTTGAAGTCGCAAACATCACAAATAAGGATGGGCTGAAAAAATAGAATTATTATCATGTGATTTGATTATATAATGTTTTACAACACTGACACAGAATCATTTGCAAATAAACATCAAAATTCAAGAATGAAAATGGAGGCCCACAATTGGCAATGAATTCTGTTCAAGAAAAACTTGCTAAAAAACAAGTAATGCAACATACTTTTTTCTCAATTAACCAAATACATGATCCAAATCTTTTCTTATCTTTTTATGAATGTTTCACACCCTCCAAGAAACTCATGTATTTAATAAATATACTTTAACTTGTCAATTTTAACCATTTTCTCCCCTTAAAATGGATGAATCAAAAGGAGATATTTTGATTAGAAAGAAATGACTTACCTCAGCTACTTTGATTTCATCAGTTGTGTTAGAATCTTCTTTTGCATTTTCTGGAGATGCCATGTTCAGTGATGCCATTTCTTTCACCACTTCTTCAGAAACTGCATCTCCACTGCCTGTTTTTTTAGCAGTGGACACCACATGTACTGATACCTTGTGCCGTTTTGGAGCCTCTGGTGATATCAATTCCTATTTGAATAACAGAACAACATTGTGAACACAGTTAAGTGGTGGTGATGCACTGTAACTCCCTTGAGAGTGAGTGAGTGAGTGTTTAAACTTATTTAATTGCTAATCTAACTTCTTGGGGCTAAACTCCCCCCCCCCCCCCAAAGAAATTATCAATTATCAANAAAAAAAAAAAAAAAAAAAACATCAATTATCAATTTTAAATCAACTTTTTTTAGGGGGTGGGGAGGGGGGCGGAGTTTAGCCTCAAGAACTTTTTAAGTTTTACAATCATAACAATACATCCAATACTGTACAATGTTTTTTACCTTATAGAATTGCATAACATCTTCCTTGGTGAGAGTTCTTAGGTGGGCTGCTTCAATTTCATCTAGAAATTATTGTAAGAGATACACAGTATAATGAAAGAACTGCAAAAAGAGGTGGATCCTGTATGCAATAAACAACATGAACAACTGTTCAAGCAACATTTCTAATCGTGTATTGCTTCAACTCCCAAAAGAAAAATCCTCTTTATTTCTTACTGACCATCTCATGAAAAAGACAGAATAGGTATTTGCAAATATTACTTCATGTCTCATGTCTTATTCTAATATAAAACTTCAAAGACAATGACTGAGAGAATGGAATCAACATTTTCTAACAAACCTCTGTCAAAGTTATATTGCTTGCAGTTGATTTCTGACCATAATTTTCCGTTCTGTGCTGACATTTTCTTTGGCTTCTCCAAACGTTTTTTTGCAAGTGCCTCTACATGTTTTTTAAATATATCATCAGTCATTTCCAGTATGTAGGACTGAAAAATTCAACATGGTTTAAATGAAATGACCATCAAGTTTGACAACAATTCCTTTATACTTCAATAATCAAAACTGCCTTATCTATTTTTCTCCTTTTTTTCACCTCATATTTAAAAAATAGTAAACAATATCAAACACAAATCACTAGGGCAATAGATGCCATGAATAAATAAATAAATAATGCACTGAACATTTAGACATTCAGTCTATAAGCAGGAAGAGTCGGAAGATTCACAGTGAAAAGAAATGCCTTCTTGCCTCCATTTTCTTTAGAAATGCCTCTGTTCTGCTCTCCACATACTCTGGACTCCTGTCTGACTGCACTATGATTCTCAGTCCTTGTACACCGCTATTTCTACGTATACCACTAAACACAATGTAACCTGTAACATATTAATATATCCTACTCATAAATTGAGCACTAGTCTTACAAAATGTGTGTCACCCCCAACTTCTTTGAACCCTTTTCTTTCCTGATGATAAGAACGATAAGAATTATTTACTGCATGTAAGAGTGATGTATTTGCAGCCCTGTGCAAAAACTAGCTACTATATTTAACCAACATTTCTTTGGCAAAGTTCAACAAATGGCCCCAAATATGCTTGCCAGCAGCATTGGACACCTGGTCTATGACTCAGTAATTGAGGAACGTACATACTTTGTATATATATATATATTATGGATCAAACTGATTTCTTGGTTAATTTCAGTGTTTCGTCCTGCATTTAACATCACTAGCTTTGCCTATTTAGCCAATTTTGAGATAAACTAATCATACCTAGCTGTTCTTGTGTTCGTAGTATATTAAAACAGGGTTCACTGATGATCTGACAGAATAATTCCAACAGAACATTACTGTGAGTTTCCTGTAGGTTACACTGGTAATAAACCTCTATGGAAGAACTCTTGTGTACGTCATTGGTGGACTTGTATAAATAGGAACAACCTGCATATAAGGATAATGTATTACATATGTATTAAACATTGCTAACTCAAAATAACTGTGATAATTCTGTAACACTGACAGTAGAACTTAAAGTGAGTCATTCATGAAATCACCATGGAAGAGGAGATCAAAGTTTTAAAGAGATTTATTATTCTCACATCCAGAATTCTACCCCAGTTTTGAATAGCTACATTTGTCTTAGAAACCATTAGTTACCATCAGGGAGCTGCACCTCTCTCCAACGTTTCTTTTGACTTGGTGCTAGTGGTTTCGTATCACAGTTTTCCTTCAGCATGTTCTGGATGATATCTAGGACCTCTTCAGCTCTCTTAAAAACATTAATTAGCAGTACTTTAGTGCCTTTATATACAGTTATCTTTAAAAACTTTCAATTTAAAAATAAACTTGCATTCAACAATTCTGTGCTATTGAAAGTCACCAGAGAAATTTGCATATTATTGTCTTTTACCTGTCTCGTGACATTTCCATAATTAGCAGTACTTTAGTGCCTTTATATACAGTTATCTTTAAAAACTTTCAATTTAAAAATAAACTTGCATTCAACAATTCTGTGCTATTGAAAGTCACCAGGGAAATTTGCATATTATTGTCTTTTACCTGTCTCGTGACATTTCCATACACAAGACCTTCAATATTTAGTCTTGAAAGGAACTGTGGTATCATAGTCGTAAGTCTCTCCACAGTTATATCTGAAATTTCAAATAAGCAATGAGAAGTTGTTCGACAATCAAAACTGTTGGAAACAAATCCCAGATTAACCTTTTAGAGCGTATTCAGTTAAGAGTTATGTTTTCTTGATATAGCCTTTTTAAATCACTCACCTTCGAGAGCATCTAATAGTTCCTCCTTTGTCCACATCTGTTCACTAGTAACCAGATTTGTGTAATACACTGCATGTTGATGAGGTTGCTCTGCTCGGAAATTTTCTAGACTTCTTTTATACTATACAAACATATAGAAAAGAAAACTGTGTCATTTGTGATTTCATCTTGATACATTAATTCAATGAAAGGCAAGACTGATAGAAAATCAAGAATAGCTTTTCAAAAGTCATTTTTGCTTAGAATTAATTGGTCATGAGTCAAAATCACATTTTTCATTGTCAGATCCAATATCTATATCAAAGAGATTAAACCATTTTTTCAAATATTTTGAACACCTGAATAAGTGATTCTGTTCACTTATGGGGATACTTACAGCTTCTTTGAAGATTTCAAATCTCTTTGGATCTGGCTTAAATGTGGTCATTTTTTCCATCACCTTCTTCAGCAGTATTGGTTGTTTATCACTATATCCACGGATACCGAGCTAAAATGAGGAGAAAATTTGTCTTTTACTCAACAATTAAGCTTTACCAAAGAGGTATATCTTTCCTTGCACATTGCTATCTCAATCTGCATTTGCACAGACTACTTCATATGGCTAGCTTTTATAACATTTAGAACACTTTCAAGTCTTAAAAGACCTGTGCATTTCTCAATTAACCTATTCAGATTGATACCTGCATAAAGTATACAAGTTGTATTATAAATGACTTACATATATTCCATACACAGTTCCCAAGAGAGAATACCCAAGGCCTGCTAGCTCAGCATCATAGGCGTACTCATTCAATGCATCTCTAAATAGGTCACAGAACATTGCATTTAAGTTGGTGTGTAGTGGATCCATGTATGCCAAGGGACTAAAACAAAGGTGGAGATAAATAATGAATACTTTGCAATGTAATTTTTCCATGCATTCTAAGTAGTGGATACTCTGCTATAGCATGGGCAGTTATTACTTATTTCATTATAAAAAAAAATATAAAGCACTGCCTCACCAATCCCTCTCAATATTTTAATAATCATGATGAAAGTAAAAATCAACATTCTATGTCATGGCTTGATTCTATGGAACTTCTGAAATCAGTAATTTGGATGTTAACTTCAAATGGAAAAAATCTTCAAACAATGATTAACAGGACTTAACTTACCTGTTAAGTTCAAAGGCATAATATGCCTTTGGTAGCAGAAAAGTGTCATCTTGCTTGAACCACAACCGGCTAAGAGGAGTCTCCACAATTACCTGTGGGCTAGAAGTTGCCTGAGACAAAGGAAAACTCACAAATTATTACTTTAATTTGTGACTGGCAATAAAATTTTTTAAAAAGATCAAATCATACAGACATTTTTCTAATGATGAAATGTGCAAACCTGATTGCCTGCTTCCAGGTACTGTACTTCGAGGTGTATAAAATGTGGACTTTTTATGTACATATTTTAATCTATATTAAAGCACATCAAAAACTTTCTACTTAATCTCTGCTTTAATATAAATCCTACATTTTTTAGTCAAATCAGCTTCAAAATTTACAAAATAAACTTACTTCTTTTTCTCTTGGAACAATATTAAAATCTGTGGCAATGAACTGATTCTTTTGCGGCAGCTTCAAGTTCTCATGATAATCTACATTTTCCCACATCTGAAAAAGAGGGTTCATATGCAATTTTACATGGTATAACAAGACTGTCTAACAGGCTATAATATGTATCAGACATATGCTTATAATGAAGATTCTTAACTACAATGTCCTTTTGGGATCTTAAAACTGGCCCCATGCCAATAAAATTTTGTAAATTTTTTCAGCAGTTACTGGCCTGTATTTCTGCTTTCAGATAACACATACTTAGACTCTAGTGTGCCCAATGACCTGCAGGCAATAATGTTTTTATGCACAGGCAGTCTTTATAGCTAGACTTAGAATGCCTGACTGTCAAAAAAAAAAAAAAAACAGTAACAATCATGTGAAAACCCATGGACAAACGCTACCTGTATCAGCTCTCCTGGTATCTTCTCAACACAATAGGCAGTGCCATACCACTTCTCTTTCTGCTCTGCAATACCCTCAAATTGTTTACCAACAACACCAACCCTAAAAAACAACGGGATTTACAAACTGTCTTAAAAATTAGGATTATCATCTTTAGTACACAGTTTATCTCAATGTTTCAAGACATTAGCTCTATAAAATAAAAAAAGACTAGCACAGATTGTAACTGGAGGCAAACACTAAAACACTAGTATGATAAATGCAGATTCTAAATTTTGTTATGATACATGGTAATTATAATCACATTTTAAAAATAACAACAAAAGTTGGTAGTCAATTAGCATTATCATCTTATCTAAATTTTTGTATGTTTGTGATTGTGGCAATCTGATAATAGGTATACAGAGTTTTATCCAACAATTTTCACTTAGAAAACACTTCTTAAGTAATCTTTCCTACCGAATCTTTTCTGGTGTAAGCATATCCAGCACCAAGCTGATCAAGTCTGGTCGGTAATCTGTCAAATGATAGCCATGACTCAAGGCTTCTTCAAGGGGATATTCCTAAAAGAAAATAAAGATTAAGAAAAATAACAGTTTGGATAAGTAGATGAAACATACAAACTATAATACTCCACCTCACGCAGACAATGCACACAAGAAGCTTATGCAAAGCTGGGCAGATAGCTGTTACACATAAATAAGATATAAAGTGAATCATATATTGTTTGAAACATAAAAGGCCACAAACAGTTTATGATTGTGGGAAAAGCCAAATGAAAGGAATACAGTTATATGTACAATGCCCTAATAATAAAAAGGTTTAACATTCAAAATGCAGGAATGGCCAACACAAATACTTACATGTAGTATTTTAGCTAGACGACAGGCATATGCTCTTGGCGGGCTTTTATCTTGAAATCTGAACCTTATCTTTTTAAGCTCCTGTAAACACAGAAGACACATTCAGTATATAATGTGCCGACGAAAAACATGAATAAATACTTACATGAAGCACTGAGGCTACTTGGCAAGCATATCCCTGAGGCCTCTCTTTGTCTTTAAACCTAAACTGCACATGACTCAAATCCTGAAATTAACAAATAGAAAAGAAGCTGGATGCTTGCTGACTTTTGTTAACTAGTACCTAGTCTTCCTCATTTTACTGCTACCTAGAACAGAATTATTACTCCTAAAAAATTAATATAACATGAAAAGTTAAAGAACTGCAATAGAATTTGATGTACATTTTATATATAAACAGTACCAGTACATCATTTCTACAGCCTGTAAAAGCAGGCACACATAAAACTGACAATTATCAAGGATTTTAGTGGCACTAGGAAATTCATTTACAATTTCATACTGTATAGAAATTGAGAAAGATCCAAACTAAGTTTATTATCTCACCATGTTCAAAAAACCAAATGTTCTCACCATGTTCAAATAACAAATGTAATATTACCAGGTACAAGGACATAACAGGATACATGCATACACATATATACATATAAAAGATGCTGGTTATGCAAAAAGACCAAGCCTGAAACCCCTATCCCATCCTAACCCACCCAACCTAAATTAATACCCTTGATATCTTAATATTGAGAATACATACAGTATGTAACAAAAACTAAAATAATAAACGAATCAATAAAAATAACAAAGGTTTTACCTGAAGCTCTTTGAAGATCCATTCCTGAGGTCCCTCTCTCTTCAGCATCTTTATGTATTGAAATACTAAAGTAATGATGTCATCTACATGTTCTGTAAAAGGAAAGTTAGAAGAAAGATATTCTTTTAGTCCAATTAACATGCACAAAACCATTTCTTCAAACAGCACTTACAAATATCAAGATGCAAAATATCCCTATTTCGATTCACAGTGCCATTATTTTTTCTTTAAAAAAGTATAAGTAGAATTGCTCCATGTAGACAAGAAATTAAATATAAAGATCAAGATAAAGATACATTTTATATTACCTATTCCTTCTTCAGTGAGGTCGACACTGACATGGAAAAACATGAACCCTTTGGCCCCTCCTGACTGCCCTCCAACCAATGTATTAACCCATCCTGTGAACATAACCCATTAGCAAATAATTAACATACTTCATCAAATTCTAGATACATTAATAAATGCATTTCATCAAGTGTAAACAGAAAAAAATGTTATTCATTTCAAATACAACTTTATAGTTGAATCTTTTGACTGTCAAAGGGGGAATAATTACAATATATTTTATTAATTAACCTAATGATCAACATGTCTTTCATTTTGACTGCATTCATTTATAAGACATACCCTTTGCCTTCAACTCTGACAAGAGACTCCCTGGTCCTTCATGACCTATCAGATGGCCTAGGTAGTGTCCAGGCTAAACATCATAAATAAGGCTTTAATAACGCTGAATTCAAAGGAGTTCATATGCTGTCTACCCTGGACTTGTTCAAAATAAACATTGAATAACCTAATATAACTATATTCAAATGACCATGAATATAAAGCCATCAAATTTGTTACAAGATCCACACAGACTACACAATTTGTTCTATATATTTTTTTCATCTTTCTACATCAACCTACTTCTACCTTTCGCAGTAAGGGTACTGTTGTGTCTTTATACTTACATTGGATTTGTAATGCTCCTGTAAATCAGGAATAGGCCAAAGAATACTCAAATTCCTTATATCTTTTACTGGTACAACAAATGCCTTCACCTAGAATAGAAATGTACATTAAAACAGTTAACTTAATATTTCACATTATAAATCATTAATTCCAAGTTCACAACCCCATTGTAATAGTATTTATGTAATCTAAACAGCAAGTCCTTATATCATGTTTTGTAATGAACTATGGAGCTTAACAAGGTGGAACATGGCCTGCCATTCAAATCATAATATCAATATTACAATCAGGCATAGTTTGAACACTACATACTGGTACGTAAAATCCACATTAAAACTAACTCATCTAATGTAATGGCATAACTTATTCAAAAAATAAATAATACCTGCAACTGTTCCGGACCATAGGGAGATTCAGGCCACTCAGGGATAGCCACTTCTTTATTCTCCACATTACTAAAGAGGTCCAATACCATTTCTTGAAGCTCATCTAGGGACTCTGTAAGTAAGATTTACACGGAATAGAAGTTGTGTATCTAATAACTGATTAAACCAATGTCACTGATCAAACAATGGACTATGGACTTTCTTCCTTAAAAATATCTTAAACAATAACTTACTAAAAACGTGACTACATTAATCACAATGAATGCACTACCAACCTTTTCCTAAAACAGACAAACCCATGATGTTGGCAGAGTAAAATTTTGAATGGAACTTCAACAACTCGTCCCTGGTATTAATTCCAAGTTCCTTTGGTCTTGTTTCCAGTGTATATTTGTTGCCTTTGTTGTTGTGAAAAAAAATTAAACAGAATTTATTTGAATATCAAACTAATATCAGACTAATTTTCAAACTGTAAAAAATCAGCAAAATATTCAGTATCAACATACTTTAGCAGATCATTCAAGTTTGTATATTAGCATACAAAATCATCTCCTTACCTGTTCCAAATTTGCTAAAAGGATGTTTAGGATTGGCAGTGGCCTTTTCCAACTGATTGAACCGCCATGCATCATTGGGAATGTTTTTATCATTCTCTGAATTCACTGCATTCACTTCTCTTTCTGTAGCACTGGCTGTAAACAGGGGGCAAAGAAAAAACTGGGCAAACCTAAAACAAAGTTACTATATTATATTTCAACATTGAGAACTATCAAGAATAATTCATTCTCACTTTTGTTACAAATAATCTCAATCACTAGTTATTGTGATAATTATCATGATAACAAGCCTCCATGAAGATATTTCAGGTGTGCTTGTTGGACAAAATTATTTACACTTTTCAACTGACTTCAGACTGAAATAAATAAATCACTTTGTTTTTGACTACTACAATTGTTGAGAGAATGAGAGCCCCACTGCTGCATAGCCACAAAACATAGGGGAAGTCTCACCTGTCCATAGCTCCCTTCAGGTGTTCTGGTGCAACATCAAAGAAGTAGTTGGTGTGTTCTGCGCTGGTGAAAGCATTGGAACTACCACCATGCTCACTCAAGAACTAGAAAACATAAAGGATAAGTCAAAAGTGTAGCTATATTATCCATGTTTTGGGCAATAAAAATCTTTCATCATGTAGAATAAAGAGGTACCCTTTTATTTAATGATAGCAAAGTGTTTATGTCTGGGAAGCAAAATACTGAGATGCTCAGTTTGAAAAATATAAATTAAATACACTACCTTGTTATATTCATTCTCGGAAGGATACTGAAACAGATATAAGACATTTACAATAAATGTGATATCTTAACAACAGATAAAACTTAAATTTTCATATCAAAACCATTGTAACTAAGATTCCATAATGCTGACTGCAAGTTTTCACTTCACTCATTTTTCTATTTTTGATATTAGATTATCTAAATACTTTACCTTCTCAGTCCCAAGGAACAGCATATGCTCACAGAAATGAGCCAAACCAGGAAGGTTATCAGGATCTGACATGTGCCCTGTGTTAAAAAAATACAAATATGTAAAATGCTAACAATATAAGAAATTAAGGAAATTTGAATAAAAGTTTACCAAGATTTATTGATAAGACAGTCAACAGTATTATGAATATTATGAGGATGACACATAAGTCTGACCTCTTGCAGCTATTCAGCCCTCTATAAATCCATCTTTACAATGCACTTCTTTTAGAATAAGCTTTTTTTATTCTCTTCAGAATGCAAAATAAATGCATCCCTGATTTCCTACACAAGTAAAGATGAAATGAACATTTTAGGGAGTGGGAGGGAGGGTTGAAACAAAAACTTTACTGACCAACATGTACATCCATTGCAGCAGCTGATTTGTCCGTAGTCTCATCACTAATCAGCAGTACTTTCATTCCATTGGTCAGCTCCAGACCTCTATACAGTCTCTTGTCTTCTTCTGATTGAATAACATCATTGCAGACATTTTTTACACTGACAGTGGACATTGTGTATGCTGGTTGTATGAATACTCTGAAAATAAATAGGACATTCAATCCAAGCAATGCATTACCAGTTTAGCACAGTGTTATTTAAACTAAAAAACACAATAGCCAATGAAGTGCTTTACCATGGCACAGGATTTTTGAAAACAACTGAATTTTACCTTACTCTCAGCTCTGTTGACAGCAAAACTGGCTGTGAACTAATTCAGGAGAGGTTAGATAAAAAATTGAGAGTCCATGCAACTTGGTGCATGAATGGTCAAGCTGGCCATTATGCCTTTCATTCGTTAGCAAATTATATAAAGGAGTGCTAATGCAAGAGTTTTCAAACTACTTAAAGAGAGGAGAGGTAAGCAGAAGACTTGAGAGAAGTAATCCCAGCGAAATACGTTGCTAATCATGGGTGTTAACAAATGGATTTCCATGCATATAAAGTGGCATGATGTCTAAAAAACGTTTGCGTGTTCATTTTGAAAGCGAAAAAGCTTGTAACTTGCACTTTTCCTCCAGTCCTCTGCACAAAAGTGTGCCATGGATCCAAATTTTGGCCGAAAGTGACAGGAACATATAAGCAATGTCATGATCATGAAATGGATTACGTACAACCCCAAAGAAGAATTCTTAAAAGAAAATTGTACAAGCTAAAAGTATCAATTTTCAAAACATAAGACTTAAGTAACATTTGTGCAAGTCATCAGCTTACCTTGATATAACTAAACCCGACAAACGACCACTTAGTGCAGAACGTAATCTTAAACAGCTTTGCATAGCTGCATTGTCATACGCAAACAAACAGGTCTACTTTCCTGCCTTCATTTAGTAAAGAGTGTTCAAACAGGGCTTTTCTTGTACATACTACTCTGGTGATTTGTTGCAGTCTGTTTGTCTGTGGAGAGCATCACACAAAAAGTAATGAACGAATTTTGATCAAATTTTCAGGATAGTCACAAATTGGCCAAGAAAGAAATGAATAGATTTTGGTGATGCTCCACTCATCAGTTAATTAATTAATCAGTTAATTGAGTAATTAATTAAGTAGTTAATAGGTTTATTAGGTACAGATTTTGATGAATTTTTCAGGATAGCTCAGAAATGGGCCAAGGGATAAATGATTAGATTTGGCAATGATCCATTAATACATTACAGGGGCGGATCCAGGATTATTTTCTGACAGTCTTCCAATTTATCTTTCTTGGTCCATCCTCCATTTTTGACCGTCTTCCAACAGAAAGAATTAGATACTCGTCAATGTAAACTTGAAAATCTGACCGTCTTCTGGAAGACCCAGAAGACGCCCTAAATCCGCCCCTGCATTAAGTAATGGTAATAAATTGTCAATTATTGTACCACCAGCGTTAGCGCTGGCGGTACACATGGTTTCGGTCCCGTCCGGATCGTTCCGCCGGCTCTGCCGGCTCCGCCAGCTCCGCCGGCTCCGCCGGCTCCGCCGGATGGCTACCGTTACCGCTTCTCCTCCTAGACGGTAAGGGCCCCCGTACCCATCTCATGGATTTAGGTCACCTATAATCTCAACTCGTTCCACGTAAAATTTGGGCTTTGTCGGTATTGGGGTCTGGGTGTGGCACTCATTACAATGCACCCTTGTCTAAAAATGGCAAAATTAAATGCTAATTATCAACCCTACGGAAGGAGTTATGGGAAAAATTTCTATAGACGGCTTTCCNATCGCCTCTCTGATCCTCTAGTTTGTCTTGGCAGAGGTTAGAATTCCCTCTTTGAGTGCTTTTCTAGTTCATCTTAGTTTTCACAGAGTTTACTTGACCACTGAATCTTGCACTAACATAAATGAAATGTTTCAGAAACTAGTGTACAGGAGTTATAACTTATAAAAATTCATAAAAGCTACTTAATTTAAAATGGGGTTTCCAGTGGCAAAAGGTCTTGTTAAGACTTATAAATGGGATGGGAGGTGGACGATTTTGAATTTCCAAATTTTGTAACAAACTGTGATATGATGAAGATTTATTAAGGATTTTTAGACAGATTGTGTAATAAAAGTGCCAGCAGTTACAGGCATCATACCCAACTTTGTCCAAGAAGGTTATCAGGATCTGACACAAACAGTGATATGATAATTTATTTGTTAAATCATTTTTTCACAGTTTGTATGAGTTTGAGTTCCAGCAGTAATAGGCATCTTACAATTATCTTGACCTTTAATTTTTTGGAATAATAATGTCTATAAGAATGCAAACACTTTTCCATAAAATGTTTATTCCTTTTATGAGCATATAATTTTTCACTTCGTTAAAAGTTTTCAAAACTGCACCAGTAAGCATGCAGTACAAGTTTATGTTATCCTCATTTTTTTTTAGAGTAGAGTCACGTGCATATTGTGCGCATTGATAATTTTCCACCTCCATTTCACTAGACACTGCCTCTCTTTCGGGTTAGTGTTCATATTTTAAGGTTCCTCAAAAACTCAATTATGGTTCTGGTCGGACGGCCTGTAAGATAATCAAACTTAATGAACAACAATTATCGCCAAAATCTTATCCAACTGACAATATCTCTGACTCACAGAATTAAGTGGGATTAGTATTGTTCTTCACTATTTATATGTGTGTTTTAATCTGCATTCTACACTAAAATATAGATTTGTATATTCAAAATGGTACAACAAACTAGCTTTCTGCATCTAAAGCATACCTGCCATCCCTTTATTCAAATATGATATCTCTGATTTGTTTTTCATGACTCCAGCTATATCTAGGTGGGCCCAGTGTTCATTTTTAACAAACTCCTGAAAACAAGTTTATGAAATAAATTTGATGCAGCACAAAGTGAATCTTCATAAAATGATTTAATTCTTATATAAAGTTAACAAATCAAAAATTAAACAGGCCTAAGTGATATCATTTTACAACATTCCAAAACATTTTTTAAATTAGACTCATTGACATGGTATATAATCATTACCTTTTTATTTCTTTGCTACAGCAATGAACAATGTGAATACAATTTTGTGGGTTTATGTTGGGAAGTATGTGTATAGTGCAAGTTGTTTTGACCTACCTTCAAAAATGCTGCTGCTGTACAAGCCCCAGCAGATCTACCACCAGATATATTATTCAGATCGGCAAGCTGTGATTCTGTGATCTGTTTAGTATAGCAATCCCATAGTGGCATCCTCCATACACGATCACCAGTCCTACTACCAGCCTGAAATATAATAAAAAAAATTAGTGATTTCCCAAGTTTAATTGTAATTGATAAAACAAAGAGATATTACACTCAATCTTTGTAGCTACTGAGTCCTGTTTCACAAAAGAACTTTAGATCCAAATTTGTTCTCAACTTTTAAGCTAAAAGTGTGGTCTAATTCATTTTAGTGCTTTTGTCCACTAAAATAGCTACTAAAACATTACCTATTTCCCTTTTCTGTTAAAACTACTGACTATTTCATTTTATTAGACTTATTTTATTAGACTATCTTGGATCAAACTACACTGAAATTATGGTCTAAAATTTTACACACATTTTCCTTTTAGGATTGTATTGTATTCTATAATATATCAGGTAATGAAAAATCAGAATATTAAGCTAGGAGGAGATCTGATTGAAAATTTGTGTTTCAATATAGAAGGGCTTGTAATTATAAAAACTTTCACAAATAAACATTGTGAAAAGTTTATGCTGTGCAACAAGAAAATAAAAGGTTCTTATTCAATTCCAAAAAATAAAAAGTACAATACCTTTTCTAAGCTAGACCACAGAACTGAGGAGTTTGTAAAGACGGCAGCAGCTCCAGCACCTAACGCAACATCTATTGCTCCTAAAAATTATTCAACAATCGATTTTTGTTTCATTTCAGAAGCATTCTAGTTAGTCTTTGATTCCAAATATATATGTTAACTAACACAGAAGGGAAAAAATACTGAGATGTATTTGTAACACAATTTAAAATATTTAAAAATTTGTTACACATTTCAATTACAACTTTTACTGATATTAAAGAGTAAAAAAAAAATTTCTTAAGTTATGAAAAATGCAATCTTACCTGTTAGTGTTGCCATGTCTAGAATTGCCTTTGGCTGAAAAGTCTCAGCATAACACAAGGCATCCGCCAAAATAAGTCTGCCTTCAGCATCTGTATTGTCAACCTTAAGGAAAATAAAAAAAAACTTGCATTTTGAGGCTCTGCATTATGTGAAATGGTGTAAAACTTTAGAGCTTTCACTACCAGTAGGAATTGCTCTAGAATGAGCGAATACTTCCCTAATTTTGAGAACATTTTCATAATGCTGTATTTACATTAACAGTACCTGTATTGTTTTTCCATTCATTGCTGTGACCACATCACCTGGTTTAACAGCAGTTCCAGAGGGCATGTTTTCACACAGTGGCATAAACCCTATTTACAAAAATATGTTTGAAATATAAAACATAACAGTTATCAGAATTCCAAATAAATANGACCTAAATCCAAGAGATGGGTACGGGGGGGCTTACCGCCTAGGAGGAGAAGCGGTAACGGTAGCCGTCCGGCGGAGCCGGCGGAGCCGGCGGAGCCAACGGAGCCGGCGGAGCCGGCGGAACGATCCGGACGGGACCGAAACCATGTGTACCGCCAGCGCTAACGCTGGTGGTACAATAAACATTGTGAAAAGTTTATGCTGTGCAACAAGAAAATAAAAGGTTCTTATTCAATTCCAAAAAATAAAAAGTACAATACCTTTTCTAAGCTAGACCACAGAACTGAGGAGTTTGTAAAGACGGCAGCAGCTCCAGCACCTAACGCAACATCTATTGCTCCTAAAAATTATTCAACAATCGGTTTTTGTTTCATTCCAGAAGCATTCTAGTTAGTCTTTGATTCCAAATACATAAGTTAACTAACACAGAAGGGAAAAAATACTGAGTTGTATTTGTAACACAATTTAAAATATTTAAAAATTTGTTACACATTTCAATTACAACTTTTACTGATATTGAAGAGTAAAAAAAAATTTCTTAAGTTATGAAAAATGCAATCTTACCTGTTAGTGTTGCCATGTCAAGAATTGCCTTTGGCTGAAAAGTCTCAGCATAACACAAGGCATCTGCCAAAATAAGTCTGCCTTCAGCATCTGTATTGTCAACCTTAAGGAAAATAAAAAAAAACTTGCATTTTGAGGCTCTACATGATGTGAAATGGTGTATAACTTCAGAGCTTTCACTACCAGTAGGAATTGCTCTAGAATGAGCGAATACTTCCCCAATTTTGAGAACATTTTCATAATGCTGTATTTACATTAACAGTACCTGTATTGTTTTTCCATTCATTGCTGTGACCACATCACCTGGTTTAACAGCAGTTCCAGAGGGCATGTTTTCACACAGTGGCATAAACCCTATTTACAAAAATATGTTTGAAATATAAAACATAACAGTTATCAGAATTCCAAATAAATAAAATGATAAATAAGTACTTAGTAATGAACCTTGAGAACAACATATTTGTTTTTGTGAGTCAAATTAACAATCCAGTTCCGATCACTAAGTTACCAGTAAAGTGGAACAAGATGGGTCTACTGCTTTTTCTCAAATCATAACAGTTATCAGAATTCCAAATAAATAAAATGATAAATAAGTACTTAGTAATGAACCTTGAGAACAACATATTTGGTTTTTGTGAGTCAAATTAACAATCCAGTTCCGATCACTAAGTTACCAGTAAAGTGGAACAAGATGGGTCTACTGCTTTTTCTCAAATCGTTAATCATTCATCACATGGAACATCATACAAGGCGTGCCAACAATTGCCTTAATTTTTAGTCTCATCAGGTGTTACACTAGGAGTAGTAAGAGCCCTCTAACAATTTAAGACTGTGATAGCCAAGTGCTTACAGTGCATTCAATTTTCACTGCTTGTGTTTTGAGATTGAACTTATCTTCGTATAAGTTTTTAGTAATTCCAACTAAGTGAGTAATATTAACTCAATTATTGAAACATGTTGTGGCACCATATGTTTTTCTATCTTCATGAAAAGCCATTTATTCTTGAAAATTTACTACATACCTTTAATATTTATAGGTAATCTCAATTTGGCAGCAGCGTAGATGGCCCCTAGTGTACAAGCAGCACCCCCCATATCAGCCCTCATTTCATCCATGCTTGCCGATGGCTTAATGGAGATTCCCCCACTAAAGGAAATAAAATTTGGGTGCAAATAAATATTGTTATATATCTGTTCAGTTAAAATATATTTCATGTCCAACTGTTATTTGACTTTGAAATTAATTTAAGATTAAGATAGTATTCTTTCTCTCAACCTGTCTTATCTACTGCATTTAAGAACATTTCCTAAATAAAAATAAAAATATAGGAATTACCTTTCTTAACATCTCCAGGCACATGATAACAATTGTAAGGCTTGTACTTAATGCCAAGTTACCTATCATTGCTATTATCATGATTATCATTTATTTTATTCGTCTTTTTCAAATTTTCTGTTGTCAAGTTATCACTGAATTTGTAAAATCTTGATCACAACAATTACACTAGCCTGACTTAATAACTCTATTTTGAAAATATAAAAAGAAAACATCTCATCTTCTACCTATCAAATGTGACGCCTTTCCCAACTATTGCAACTGGTAGATCTTCCTTCCCTGCTCCTTGGTAACTAACTTCCAGGAACACTAATGGTTCTTGTGAGCCTTTTGATACACAAAGGAATGCACCCATGTTCTGGTCCTCAGCCCACTTTTGGTCCCTAGTGAGATTAAAATAAGGAAAAAATGTGTAAAATATTAAGTTTAAAGATGGTTATGGATTTTAAAATGTTTGAAAGGTTAACAACTTAATATAAGGCATTTGATTTCTCATTATATTACTAAAACAAGTTCAAAGCACTGAAAATCAAAATGCTTAAGAAATATGAAACTAGAAAAGTTATAGAGAGTGCAGACCTCTGCTAAAAAAGTTCTATTTTCATAATGAATTAATCAATCAATGGGTGAACACTCAAATCTAATCAATCTTAGGTAAGCCCATTTCTGGGCTTTCCTATAACTTGAATCAAAATCTATCCATAACGTCTTTAAGTTAGGCTGTGGACTAACAAACCAACAATGCAAAAAAACATAACCTCCTAGTCAGAGGTTATAATGAAATACACAATACCTCACGATGATCTCTGTATTCCCTAGGTTTTGCAATTTTTCTTGTGCAATACTGGCAAAAATTCTTGGAGTCAACTTGTTCGATGGCATTTCCATGAGTTTTCTGGCTAAATTTTGTCCCTCTGCCTGCACTTGCCCTTGTTTCCAGGAAGATTTTGCACTGAAAAGACAGAAGTGTTTCTAGACCAGAGGCATTGCAAACCTAAAAGTGAAAATAACAATTTCAAATGAGGGTTGTTAGACACGAAGGACTCATAATTTTAAACACACACACACACACACCAGTCTGAGAATGTTCCATCATATAAGCCTAGTTTCAGTTGAAGCTCCTATAGACAAACAGACAGTGATAAATAATAGTCTTAAGTTGCCACAGACAAGAGACAGTTGACAAACAGATAGTCACTGCCTCCTGCAAAGTTACGAGTCTCCAACAGTAGGTAAAATGGTAGAAATTATTCTATTATAAAAAGGTGGGTCACAAAAGACTCTGAAGTATATCACATAATAATGTACCTTGCATTGCTTTTATCTGTCAAGTAACATGTTAATTCCATAGGCAATTTTCTTTTGTCCTTGGCCTTGAGTTCATCATACGAATACATTTTTAAGTAGCTCCCTTCAGCTGCAGCTGAAATCAGAGAAAGTGAAACCATTTTAAAATGAAAAAAAAATGTATACATGGTATTATAACATGGCAGTATTGCAAGTGTAAAACAAAATAGTAAATAATTCATTTTCACAATTACTAACTAAGTAATTACATTTGGTTTTTTCATAAAATTCAATTGAAATGGATTTAAATCTAGACCATACAACACAAACCATATTTCATCATGTTCATGATGAAAATTGGCCTGCACAATTCAGGACTACGCAACTACCAGACTTGACACTGAATGATCCCGTATTCACCGGTAGATCGGACCACACCACCCGTTTTCAAGGTGTGCTTCAGTATGCGCTTCGAAGTATCAGACATGACACCGCGCTTGCCTGGTAAGTGATGTAACAGAGATGATTCTCTGCGGGGTTGGAAAGTAGTGCATCTCATCTCAAAATTTGTTCCGGGTATGATACTGTGAAATGCGTACTGACCCACACCTTGAGAATGGGTAGTGTGGTCCGATCTTCCAGTGAATTTGGGATCATTCAGTGCCGAGTCTGGTAGTTGGGTAGTCCTGCAGTTTTACATATCAAATCCAGTGTAAAATCTACCTTCAGGATCTCCACAGGGGTCAACTTCAACTTCCTTGACATCCAAAGATTGCAGTTTTGATATTCCAGCTGTAAAGTAACTCTTTAATATGAAAAGAAATCCAATTTAAAAAACTAACTTCATCAAAATGCAATATAATTGTTTTGAAGTTTGCCATATAAAGGTAGCTTGATCTGACTTGATTTTTTAATCAATTAACTCTCTACTCTCTTATAAGATCTTATAACTTCTCTCTCTCATAACTTTGCTATAACAGTGCAGAAAAAATTAATCTATCTTGAAAAGATATAAAAAAATAGAATTTTCATGAACTATTTACCTGCAACAGCTTTCCTTACATTCTCTTTTCTAGAGTCCAATACTTCCAGACTATCATATGAAGTATCTTTTTTCCCTAGACAGACCAGAGCCACAGCGTCATATTCTTTATCTAGACCCATCAGGACTCTGCAACCTCCAGCTTTGAAACTGTTTGGTGCACTAATTAAAAGAATAGAGATTAATAAATGGAATCATATCATAATGGTAATAAAAAAAACTCTCTTAATATCTCTACAGCTTAAATGATAAAACACTAATTCAAATATTTAAGGTGGATAAGTTCAAGCTCCTCTCTTTCTTAAAATATTATTACACAAGTATGTCATATATTTTTTTTTTTTAAATTCTGGATATCTTTACATTTGGCACTTTCCTACATTTTAAGTTTAGCCTCAAGCTCTCCACCAAATTTTTCATTGAAGACTGTAGAAGCAATTGTAAATTCTGGATCTGCATCTTTTTCTTTGTACACTCCAAGAATGACAGCTTTACTCTGAAAATAATATAAAGTAAAAACGACTACTTAGTTATATTAGTAGCATAAGCGGACCTAATCAGTAAGCAATGCTGGGCATAAAAGTCAAAGTCTGCAGTACAAAGAAAATAAGGCAACATTTTTTTTCAACGATCACTTGACATTTTCTGTTTGGGATTTCTGGAGTGGGGTGTGTCAGTATAATCTCGTTCTCTTGCAATTCCAACTTGATGTCTGAGCAGTTTTATTTCTCAGACAACAAGATACACCATGCTCACCTTGACCGGTGTTGTGTGGATGCTTCTGTGAGATAGATATCTGCAAAACTTTACTCCACGCCGGTGAACTATAGAGGCTGACATCTTGAAAGGCCGCTCACAGCATAAAAAGTAAATGAGTCTATTCAATGCTTGTTTATTGATATTCTGAAGAACATATGTTAAATAACGCAATTTAAGTAGCTAGAAAATAGGAATGTATAGAAAAAACAAGAAACGTTTATCTAAGTTGAACCAAAATAGAGAAATTATTTACATCCTAAGGAGCATGTACCATTCCCATTTTCTTTTCAGTATTTTGCTCTCCTTGTCAACATCTATTTGACAAACATTTTTTTATGGCCATGCTTAGCCTACCTTCGTGTGGATCACGTCGACAGATTTAATAATGGTCATCATTTTCATATCACAGACAGGGCAGGTAACAAGCAACATCAGAAAGGACATTGTACATGAAAGTGAAAGAATGTGCATGTGCGGTGAACTGGCTTCGGCACAGAAAAGCGCACCCAACTGGCTATAGTTATAACCTCCTGAACTCCCAGTATTTGTGCATGAATAATTGCATAGTATTATTAAAAGTAAATTTTATAAATCTTTGTCAAAGGGTAGGGTTAAGTACAACAAAACAACTTTTTTACCAATTATATCTCATTACAGTGATACAAGGAAGAAACTGGAATAGTTGACCATTGCAACAGGAATCGGGAGAAATGCCAAGATTTCACTGCAGAATTGGTCTACTTCTGCAAAATGTGAAGGATTATATGAACAAACAATGGAGATTGCTTATAATTACATATAGAACTCTTTTCTATAACTCATTTACGTCATGGGGCATAGCACTGGACACTGCCATGGAGCCTCTGTTTTGGCTTGTAGAAAGACTAGCAAAACACTTAGGACCAGTATGTATACCTTGTTAGCTTTTTAATAAACAAATAGCTCTTTTAAATCATTATTTTGTATAAAAAAATAAAAGCATTTTCCAATTGCATGATTAATGCAAGATATGTTTGTTATATAAACCTATGCGAGGTGCAGTGGTACTAGTACTATAGTATATAAATTAAGGGTCTGTTAAGAGCTCTAGATCGAGTGTATTAGTATAATGTCATTCACTTGATTTTTAAGGTAGAAAAATAATTAAACTTTACTTAGATCAATTTTAGTTATAATGCCTGATTTGTATGTTTTTCATTTAAAAGTACTGTATCATTGAAAAAGAATAGCATATAGAAGTCATTCTTCTGAAATTAAATGATTGTGTTCTGTATTTCCTTTCAGATATTTGTATGTCTAGTCACGATTCTCACTTCATCTGTGGTGCTGATTTTTTACATCTATATATTGCCTCATGTTCATCACACTAGTACTGGCTGGACTGTTTTCCATCTTATCTTTGGACATTGGCTGCTGGTCAATATAGTGTTCCATTATGTAATGGGTGTGTGCACTCCACCTGGGTCTCCACCAGAGGTATGTCAGGGACAATTAGGGACATATTGGATAATGTGTATAATTCTGGAAATGTGATTGTCATCCTAAGCATTAGTAAATTAACATGTATTCCTAGTGAATTTTGAATTCATGAGTAAGCCCTGATCACATAGAGAATGTTGATAGAAATTAGTTTAGACATGTTGCAGACAGCCATAATTGTACTGTAGATGGTACGTATAGTTTTTTTTTTGTGTGTGTGTGTAATACAACATTAATTAAGATTTAAATTCATTTTGTCATAGATGTTATATATATTTGCCATTTTTTGAAAGCACTAGTAAGTAATCTAGTCCTTGACCTTGAAACAGATGTATATTGAAATGTTCTGATAAAATTTTTTTTGTAATGATATCATGATTCCTATTTTTATTAAATAAAAGATATTTATACTTGTTGTCTTTATTAATTTCAGAAAGTCACAGAAGTTGTGTCAATATGCAAAAAGTGCATTAGTCCCAAGCCTCCAAGGACTCACCATTGTAGTGTGTGCAATAAATGTGTGCTCAAAATGGACCACCATTGTCGTATCCTTTTATAGGTACATGTATTTAGAAAAAACAATAAGCATGAATGAGTATGGGCTGCATGTGTGTGTGTGTGTGTGTGTGCATGCATGCATGCTTGTGTGAACAATCTTGTCTTAAAGAAAACCATTTATTATATAATGATCAGGTCAATTGGATATTGGTTTTGGACTGTATAAAGTCATTTTTTATTGCTCTTTTTAATAGTCTGTTTAATAGAAGTTGCTTTTAAGCTCCTTAATTCTATAACAGCATGGCTGAACAATTGTGTCGGCCACTATAACCACCGTTACTTTTTCATGTTTATGGTATACATGTGGATAGGGGTGGTGTATGTTTGTGCCTCTGTTTTTGAACTCTTCAAACAAGAATTCTTTGGTGTTAATAGCAAGGCAAGTAATGATCATGATCTCAGGTTTTAATAAGATTTTGACTTTTAAAAAAATCCATTAGTATGTGTGAAAACCCATTATTTTTCCTTTTTATGTGATCCTTTGAGAGGGTCTGTCATAGTATTTGTTTACTAGCACATTTAATTTATTATTTTAATTTCAGTATTTTATGATTATATTTTAATGATTTTTTTCTATTTTTTTATTAATAAAGTTCTGATGTGCACAGTACACCTGAAAGAAATTTATCTTATGGTATGGAGTAAAAGTGATCTGAAACTTATAACTTTCTTCATTTAGGGTTTCAGTTTAGTTTTTCCAACACTTATGGCTCCATTTGCTGTGTCAAGTGATCTCTATTCTGTAAGTATATTGTTGGCTGCAGCAAGCTGGTAAAGCATGAGCTGAGATCTGAATTGTTTATGTCATTTATGTGTTAGTTCATGTGAATTCAATTTTCAATATAGAACAGAAGTATCATAGCTATATTTGTGTATGTCTGTGACAATGCTGTCTGTGCATTTGGTAACTTTGTTGAAAATGATTTTATCTAAAAAAAACATAACGAAAGCATCTTCTCTTAAATGTAACTGTTGTTAGCTCATTTGTGCACGTTTGACACAATATTCTGTAGGGAAGAGTTAGAGGTGATTTTTTTTCTGCACTGAGAGCTGGGGTAATTTTTTTAAACTCACTTTTTTCTCCTGCTTTTTAGAGTGCTATACATGCTTCTTGCTATTTTTCTCATTTGCTGCATCATAACAAAAAATGATAAAGTGATTCATTAATGGGAAGCTTAACTCATCTTTATTGTGACAGTATGCATTAGATTAGTTGAAAAATATATTTCTTATGTCATTTTCTATAACAGTGCTTCTTACTGTTTTTCTTAATCATATCTTTTGCATCACAACAAAAATGGCAAAATGTCGTAATTCTTCAATGGAAAGCTTCAATCATAACAGTTGTATTTTGGAAATGCATGAATCTTACAGCATCTGGAAAATAAATTGACTTAAAAATTATAACATCCTGCTGATGGGCTTACTTTTTATCTATGTAGTTCAAACAAGAAGCCATTGGCGTGTGCTATGATTGGAGCTGGGAAGATGAGATGCAAATGTGTTGGGTGAGAAATGCCTACAGAAAGCTGAGATATTTAGTGGAATTTTCTCTAATTTTAGTTGTGTTTTAACAGTGCATTTTGTTTACTCTTCACAAATTGCAACAAAAAATAAATGCCTTTCCAAGCTTATCTCAATTCTATGAAGTAATATAGTTACTTTTTTTCAGGCCAATGAGACAATATCAGACATGGAGCATTTACAATCCCTGGAACAAAACTTTGGAATATACCATTTCTGTGTAATTTATGAGTTTTTACTGTGTAGTGGAGTTATCATAGCCTTGGGACTGTTAATGCTGTGGCATGCATTGCTTATTACCAGAGCAGAGACAAGCATTGAAGTGCACCTGAACAAGAGAGATAAAAAGAGGATGAAAAGTCAGGGATTGGTACGTTCCTTATATATCTAGACCTGTAATATCTTTAGGGGTTAGTCTTTTGGTATTGAGTGAAATACAATAAAATTTAAAGTCACGTTTTAAATAATGGAGGGGAGGTTTTTACTCTTGATAGATCCATGTACATTTACAAAGTTTCTACAGCCAATTATGAAATACTGTTGTTCCAGGGATTTGGGATTAAGATTTATAATCAGACTGCATGGAACAGTGTATTTATAGTCTCTAGTCTGTTCCTTTGAATTTGATAACATGATATTGTTTTTAGGTGTTTAAGAATCCATATAACTTTGGTCGTCTACAAAATTGGAAGCATTTCTGGGGCCTAAGAGATGGAAGGTAAGATTTACATGTATAGTTATATAAAAGAATCAGCCCATAATCATTTTTTATGCAATTTCTTTTCTGGGTAGATATTTAATGGTTCTTCACTAATTATGTTATATATATATATATATATATATATATATATATATATATATATATATATATATATATATTTTTTTTTTTTTTTTTTTTTTAATTGTTTATATCTTATGCCTATACTGCTGTATTTCTAATGCTCATTCATGTAAAAAAATGTTAGTCTGTTATTGATCTATACTTCTCATTAAGCTGGCATTTATTCCTCTGTCTGGTCTCATTTTTGGTGGTATATTTCAGATCTTTTATTCGACATGTATTGTTTCCATCAAGACACAAACCTATAGGAAATGGAATCACATGGGAAACGGCAACATATAAAATAGAAAAAGAGTTACACGATATCTGATATTAAAATCATTAGTAACTTTTAATGAAGTAGATTTAGCATTATTTTGAGATAAATGTGATGGATCACAAAAGAAGCAAATGTGGAGGAGCACAACTTCCCAGATTGAATTTTTATGTCAAGTGTAATAAGATGACCTTAGATTTTATCTTTTCTTTTAAAGGAACTGCTTGTTAGAATTTTGCGTAGAAAAGATGGCATTTCCAAGGGACTAATTATGACCAGTGTGACCCATTTTAAACTTATTTTAGAAATAACAGTATAGTATATTAAATGTATGTCTTTTAGACCATTCTTTCTTCACTTCAGATAAAATGCAATTTTTGAGCAGTATTTATCTAAAAAGAATAGTAATTTTCACCTACTCATTAGTTATTGTTAAACCTGCTCCTGCTATTGGATTTTTCATAAGCCTTTTTAATCAAATACTTTTAGTTCTAATTGTTCACCATAATGACCGTTTAAATGGCCACATCTGTTAATTGGGATTTTTATAATTTTCAAGGTCTGAATTGGGAAACAAAAGTACCTTTATAGAATGTGCAGACAGTAATTTTTACTTTCCAACATTTTCAAATGAAAAAAATATACTTTTAAGAATGAAGTTACGTGCCTCAAGGACAGATCATAGGGTGTTAAAAGGAAAATCTAATATCTAGACAGCAAAATTATGAAAAGGAAATACATTATTATTTGAAGCATTACCATGGCATCAATTTTTTTAAATCTCAGTTCATATAGATATTTTGTATTCTAATACTTTATTCCAAGTGTGTAATGTATTATTACACTATGTATGCAAAAATCATTTTAAATAAAACAATTTCATGAGACCAGTTCAGTTTCTTGATCTTTTTATTTTGACCAACTTTTTCTATAATTTTCTCTTTAACATGATTTTGTAAAATGTTTCCCATACAAATATCATTTGTATACTAAATGATGTCACTGCTGCTTTTTGTTTGTGTCAGTATTGCTTCATTACTTAATGACTTGTATTCCACTTTGTCAGCCAATCGGGCTTGAAAGATATCTGACCTTGATATTTCATTTTCAATTCTAGTGAGGCTGAAGCAACAAACTTCATGGTAGCTCAACCACTTAATATTTTCTAATAGTCACTTCCTTACTGAAAGCAAAATATAATCCATAAAAATACCCACAGATGCTACCTAATATTGGACATAGTTTGTTCGAGATAAGCCAAAGGTCCATGAGGATACATCTGTCCTTGTGATTGCTGCCCTCCTGGGGTCTGAGAAGCAGCAGGAGTGGAAGGCTGGTGGGGCTGTTGTTGTTGTTGCTGGCCCGCTGGCATTGATGTCTGTGCCCCTGAAATTCCATCTCTCAACATGCTCTGCCACTGAAGAAGTTTTTCATAATGTTTTTGTATAAGTTGTTCTTTGCGTATAAGTTCTTTTTTCAGATCTTGGGTTTCCTGAAGAAGACAAAAGGCAATAAATTATACAAACAGAACAAAAAAGAAAGTGTTTCAAAAAAGTATGCATTGTTTTTTCTTTTTTTAAGTATGATACGAAGTTTCCTCATAACCTCATATAATACATCTACTATTCATCTTCTCAAAAGTAAATAATAATATCTAGAAAAAATATCAGAAACTAACATTATATTATATTATATGATTAATCAGTGACAAGATATTTAATGTTTTAGTAATCCACATGTTCTCTTTGGCCATGTACACAAATTAAATAACTTAAAAAAGAAAATCCAGTACCATTTCGAAAATCCATCAGAAATTAATCAGAATATCAATTTTAACTGAAATTTTCCGTGTAACTTCACATCATTTGCTCTTACCTCCATGATGATTTGTTCTGGTTTGTGAACCGAAAGCAGCATTCTTTTCTGAATAAACCATGCTTCATTCTGCTTTGCAACATCTAAAAACTTTTGAATAGACAGCTCCACTCCTTCAAAATACAAAGAGGGCGGTGACACACAATGCAGATCATGTTGCTTGTGGTTTTGGATGAAACCGGTGTAATATTAAATTTAAAACAAATAAATTGTAGATCACATGTATTAAAAATTTTAACAGCAACACTGAACTTTAAACGAAATAAAGAAAATGGAAAAGATGTTACCTGTTTTAGTTTCGTCTGAATCAACGCCATTAAAATGATCTTGATTTAGTATTGAAGAAAAGCATGTCTGCAAAATATGATCAAATGGTAAGCTATGTGAAAGTAATTACAGTATCTTTTAAGACGATTTTAATTGATATATTTAAATTCTTATTTACTATGTCAGTCAACCCATCGTCAATTATAGGCGAAATTTTACTCTTTTCAAGCGAAGATCAACTTTTATACCTGAAATGCAGCTTCAAACTCGTCTATAAGATTCTCCCCGCCAGAAGCCATGACAGAAAAAGACTCAGTACGCATGCGTAGTAACTATCATGAATCCAATGTATTATGTACTTGTAAATATCATTTATCAATTTCATTCAGTTTTCAAAGTTTATGAATTAATATGATTCGTTTCAAATAAATATATCAATTAAAATGCTTTTTGATCATAAAAAGAATGAGAAAACATTACATGATAGAGAAATGAATCCGCTAATCAATTATTGAAACTGCTCTGGGCTATTGATAGTTATGTAGTTCCTGGTTGTTGTAAACAGAGGTGGAGTGTTCAACCCACAATTGCATTTAATTTTCGTTCTGCGAAATTGTTTGTCATGGCTTAAACGACTTGTCCTATGGGTGCATGTAAACTTCAGGAATCAGGAGAATAACATTTCACATTTGGAAATCACTACTGTAATAGGAAAATGCCGCGAGACCGCGAGGGGTCCAGCTCAGGTTCGAGTCGTAGACACGGACACAGGCGTCATTCCAGTCACAGACACAGGCGGCGATTTCGTTTAAAAAACCGTGAAAGAAACTTTGCAGCTGCAGTTTGTAGTATGGTGGCTATTGTAACATTATGTACAGCTTTAGCAGAACCAGCCTGGTTCTATTCAAAAGGAGGAGGGTGTCGATACAAAAGGTTTTCTACAATGCTAAATATGACATTAGGTGTCAGTAATTTCTTTTACCTTGGACACTTCGAAAAGTACGATCAGCCTGCACCGAACGACGAAACCAAACTTGTAACACATTACATATTATATTATGGTGCAGATCCGACAGAAAGTGAGTTATAAATTAGTAAATCAATCTCTCTCTCTCTCTCTCTCTCTCTCTCTCTCTCTCTCTCTCTCTCTCTCTCTCTCTCT